CCTATGAATAATATGTCATTATGTGTAGACTCTATTCTAGCTCTATACATCTACAGATAAAACTGACATAGGTCTAGAATCTATAATATTTCAATATAAGTGTGCTTTATTTATATATACTATGAGATGGAGATAGCTCTCTTCAATCATTCAATATATTTGATTTCTGCTTGTATGCACGACTTTGATAAGATGACTCATCTCTGACACTGTACAAAGTCAATGGCAATGCACCTGTTATAATCCCAATCAGTCACCAGCCCAGCGGAAAATCAACTTACCAATGCCCGAGCGCACCCCGATAAGGGTTCCATTCTCGTCCGTCGGACTCTGCAGTGTTAAATGTCCATTGAATTCCAAATCGAAGTCTTCGTCGCCAAGCTCACTATCCGATGTCGCTGAACTGACTGGGTCGTCGATACTGATGTCGCACTCGAGCTTTTTCTTGGGACTTGGAGCAGCCATGCTCGTCGGAGTATTGATTGTTTACGTTTAGAACATGGCCGGTGTAAATCGGCTTTGCATCAAAATGTTAATGAGCATCCATATCCTTATGTACATTATGCTGTGGAGGCTCTATTTATGAGCGACCAACGTAAGAGTCCGTACCAGTACCTATACCCCTCCGCCCCGCCCCCCCCCCCCTTACGTATTTTCCCTCCTATTTCAGAGATCTTCTTCTTCTGTATTACTCTCGGGGCTAAAAATCTTCTCTGTTTTTGCCTTGTGATATATGTGTCAAGCAAATAAAAAGTAAGAAAGACAAATTGCATCTTGGAGAACACAATCTTTCAACAAAACAAAAAAGGCTGATCAACTTCCTTCTTGAGGGACAATGATTAAACATATGACTTTTCACTCTTAACTGAAGATACATTCAAACGGTAAAAAAAAAAAACATTCGCCTAAAATAGATTAAAGTACAGCTCTATGTGTCATCTCCTTACCGCCATTGGCGTATTATTATACCTTGTGCTTGTCAAGTGCCGGTGTACAGTGCAAGTAAAAAGGCTCTTAGTAGTAATAAACCAGCTACTTGCTTAAGATACTGAATTACCTATGACAACCAATAAGTCTAACTAGTACAGGGCCATTCATCAGGTCTGTTCCTGATCATATAAAGCTCAAACTATAACTACACTGACCTTTTATAAAAATTCTATCTGTAATATTTCACACACTTTTTTTTCTCTCCCCCTGATATGGAATGGCCGAGAAAGGCAACATTTCGCTCGTTTGTCCTGAATATATATTTATGCATAAATGCTATCATCTCTCTGTGTTGTAAAATGATCTAAAAAAGAAAAAAAATGCTATTCATGAAGCACCTCCATCACTTTGGGACTAAAGAGCACAAAAAGGGGGCCTCTCAAGATAAAAAGGATATTTGGGTAATTTGGGACATGCGCTAAAACAAAATAATCTATTCCACAAATGTAAGATAATTAAAGGCATGTCTAATCGTTTTGGGGACCCCTTTTGTCATCAGTAAAATGTACATCAAAGTTTGTTTAAAGTTGATAGATTGGATCAGAGTAGATACTTATCAAGTGAAATGATACTTAAGATGTCAATTTTTGTTCATCACCGATTACAAGTGGTAACAAATTGGACCCAAAATGTAAGATGACATTTTCTTCATTGAAGCACCTTTACGAAAAGTACAAAGAGAAGCAATAAATAAATACATCTTGGAAGAGATTGAATCTTTTTTTTTTCTCCAAAAATGAAGGAACATTTATTAATACATTGTATCCATTGGATGCCTGCAATATCATCATTATAATACAGTGTGCAATACTAGCGAGATTGCAAGACATCATTCGGTTTCATCATGACTATCATGAGGTTTTTAAATGTCTTTCATTAGATAAAAGAACGGCATGTCACAGTGCATAACATAGAAAAAACAGTAATGACATAAAAAAAAACCATAATGGTTCACCTGATGGCTAATTTGACCTAAGATCACATATCCGCAGAGCAGAAATCTCGCATAATTATTAAGATTTCAAAGACATGAATGATTAAATGCATATTACCAGCATGACTTTTCTTTTTTACAAGGATCAGCGACTCAACGATTGCTCCTGCAACTTTTGCTCAAGGCTTCATTTTGTCAAAAGATGCAAAGCTACAGCTTGAATGTGATCGGTTTTAGATTTATTTCTGTCGTAGGTCAGCGTTATGGATTGACCTTGGATTGACCTTTGACAAATTGATGATGACCCCAGAACAATTGCTGCCAGTGAGTGTGTAGTATGATTCTTTCAGTACAGCCATTCTCATATTTAAACATAAACAAATACAAATATCTAATTGGGAACAGCAAGAGCATTACCTCTATGATAGTGTAATGCCCTCTGAATTTCATCAGTGAACGGAGTATTTAACACAAAAAATAAAAGTGAATGTAGATTTTTAACATGATATGTCTTTCACATTGAAATGCAAGACAATATTTATCACACTCGCAACACAATATCATTTATTCTGAAGATTACCATTTTTGTCATAATGTAATGCAACAACCATAAGTGTGAGCTGATATCTGGTCCGGTACTTCAAAAAGACTACAACTATGTAACATATATCATTTTCATGAATTTTTATAATTTTCAGTACAAATACATCACCGTGCTTCAACGTCAATTAGCAATAAAGTGATGCCTAAAGAGGCACACATACAAATAATCTGTACACAATCTCAGTCAGTATTCAAATTGATGAATATACAATGCAGGTTTCCATCACATCGATGCAATTAACTTGCGACTCATTGCTACTCAATTCTAATGATTCATTACCATATTTTCTATATCACAACAAAAATCAAACTTCACACAAGTGACTGTCTATTAACAAGATATGACATGAGCTGAGCGAAACGATGAAGAACCAAATGAATTAATATCCCTTTGATTCCATGGTATCTCAAAATATACAAATGACAAAGGATTTCTTTAAGATTAAATAAAAAGAAAATGAATTGCAGAATGTTACATTATTGAAGCAAAATTGCAGCCAGATACTGGAACAATTCATTTTTCAATATGTACTTCTTCTTGAAATAATTATGCAATACACCATTCTTCCCTCAAAATGTGCATATGTCAGGGGAAGAATTTATATTTGCTTGCTGTTTTACAAAATTTATTTCTCCTGTGGATTTCTAAACTTATTCTTTCTCTTCACAAAAAGCAGGAATGAAAGGAACTGAATATTTATTTCTAAGCAAATTGTGCACGCAGAAAAGGGACATTTAGTTCACTTCAAAGAATATATCATTCTAAAATAGACGGAAGTTGCAAAAATATTCATGTGAAAACTCCTTGTTTGCTTTACTTCCTGTAAACTTCCTGCTTTCAGTAAACACAACCAACTACATGTACATATAAATTACAGATATTCTACCACAACACATCAGATTTCAGGGTTGTGACTTATGGAAGTGACTGTCTAAAATAAATGCTAACATGATTAAATTATTAATCCAAATCTTCTGAAGAGTAAATACAACATCATGCACTAGTTCATCACACTTTACGCCAGGCAGCCGATTGTGAAACTGCAGCTATCAAGAGGATAAGATATATGTACACATGTTCAACATCTATACTGTTGGCCATAAATGTGGAATAATTTCTTCTTACATCTAAACATGAAGTGATTGTGAGAATGGGATTTATTCTTGATAGATTACATCTTCTCAAAAAATTGTATTGATCCATTTAAAGAGCCATAAATATTGATCGATAACATTCTGAAAAGATCAAGAATAAACCGTACTGTCGCAATTATTTCATGAAAAGAGGTAAGATTGAAAATCATTCCAACTTGATGGGCTACAGTGTATGTTAAAGGTAATACAAAGTTTTGGGAAATTTTGAAAATTGGCTGGATAGTGATTCTTTACAATTTTGATATTTTTGGATGCCCCTGTGGATGTTTTATAAGCACTAGAAAATTTAGCCCGTAAAACACCTCTGCTTTCGAGAAAAATTTACTGGTGCTCCCGGTAAATTTTAATAAATTTCAAATAGCGCCTACGGCCGTACAATGGTAGCTGACACAATGAAAATCTCAGAATATATAGTTTTGATATAAAACGGGAATAGCTAATCGCTCGATTTTAGTCAAGAAACATTGTCTTATAGCTTAATTAATATCTTGACCTTGAGAGGGAGCTATACAACACAGAGAGTTTATTATTTACGACAACGATCACTGAATATTGCAGGATATGCATATGCTTTCAATATGTTCATTAGAACTAAATTCATGACCCCATACCAAAACTTTGTATTACCTTTAATATCAACAATGATGGCCAAAAAGCTCAGAAACAACATAAGCACCTAAAGAAATAGTACATTATTTAAACTTAATACCTCATAGCCACACAATCAGTCATTTACGTTCGTTCTCATAATGCATGATTGCATAGACACTCCCTATGCTTTCACGACCAATATACATGTATGTATTCATGATGTAAACACATTCCAGTCACTCAAAAATATTATTTTAAAAAAAAGAAGAGAACTTAAACGAGCAACATAATGAGAAGCCTATCGAATGTTCAAATTCTATTGAAAAGACTAGAATGTACAGATATCTAAGGAATTACTGTATTTGAGCTTGCAAATCTTCCTGAAAATATCCACAATCACCTCCTTAACACACTGCTACATTGTATTAAACAGTGGATGTTCACTTTTAATTCTGGTACTCAATAAAACCTTTATGGCTATTTTCTATGAGTATTTTTAGTCAGATAGAAAACTTGAGATTTGAGGAATTTAATTGGATAATGAAATAGAATTTTCACAAGTATGCATGTCCCAATAATTCATACATCATGTTATATTAGGAATACAAGTGTGTTCATGTTATCAAGCAGCATTTTCTTTTCAGCCCCAGTCCATTACTGGTGAAGTTCGCATAAAATATCAACTAATTTCCCCTTGTGGTGGAATTGTGTACAAATCTAGATTTTCTGACACAAAGTCAAAGCAATATGCCACTTCCAATAGAGCTTCGATCTGATGCTGTAACTTTTCATGCCAGTCATTAAAAAAAACAGCAACATGGCTATTCCACAACCCAACTATGGATATAAAATACCTTTCTGTTTAAGCATTTTTTTTGGGGGGGGGGAGGAAGGATTGGCTTTGGTAAAAGATATATTTCCTTACAGTGATATTCATGATTTTCCTTTTTTTTCTCAATAAAAACATTTATTGTAGAAATTTCCAGAGTTACACTGCTCTTTGCCGCCCCTGCACCCCCCCCCCCTTTCCCAACTTACGGTAATGTAAGGCAAGGTCCCCCTTTCCCTACAAAATTTACACATATGGCAAATTTAAAATCTGCATGGGGATTCATGAACTCTGCTTACTTATGCCTATAACAAAAATTACAAAGTATACAATAAGTAGGGGAGCACATAAATTTAAATAAGTATTGTAACATTAATCAAATTTGAGGCATTGAAATAGAAATCTGATTATGCTACTAAACAAGACACAGTACATATTATGTAATAGCAAAGCCAAATTAACACACAAACAAATATAGAAGGGAAAAGAAATATTTTACCTCATGTACTTATATTTGTATAGAACACACAAAACCTAGCTTCAATTTAAACCTTAATCCCATCAATATACCAATGCTAAAGGTCATTGTAAATCTTATGTCTTATGTAAATGGTGTATTGTCCTTAGCTTGGCATGTTATACAAATGCAGCAAAAGAGAAACAAGGACGAGGAACTTATTAAGCGCAGTATCAAAACACAATTATGTATTCAAAATGACAGGCTCCATATTGCCAATCGAACTAAGAGTCTAGCAACGCACGAGACACGACCTGCTCCAAGAGCGGACAGTCCTACAAATTTAGTTGCAGAGGGAGGATTTGATAACCTTAACTTATGGATACACACATCAACATGCTCAAACAATAGTTGTGTAATGTTCTTAAATACTTGATGCGATATGCAAGCTACGTGTATACAACCAGAGAAAATATGTGATTGAATTCAACATCTCTATTTAGTGATGCACTTTTTTTGTCTTCTCTTGCATCTCACCAAGTCCAATTAGCTTTGCACATTGAAAATGTTTTCAAGATGAATGACGACTGTTGAGAGCTGTGTGACGCATTCAGAATCCTCCATGTAGGGGTGTAATGAAGATGATCGAAATCGAACACAGAAACAACAGCAGAGAGAAATAGAACAAGAGAGAGAGAGAGAGAGGGAGAGAGGGAGGGAGGGAGAGAGAGAGAGAGAGAGAGAGAGAATGAGCTTCACTTCATCTTGGCTTTCTTCTTCCTGATCAGGTCTTCGACAGCCTGGAGTTGCTTCAGGATCTCCTCTCTCCTGGAGATGGATTCTTTCTTGGGGGCGGCGGCGGGCTTGGGGGCGGGTTTGAGGGCCGGCTTGGGGGCAGGCTTTAGGGCGGGTTTGAGGGCGGGTTTGGAGACCTTCGACGCCGGCTGGGACTTGGAGGACGGTGGGGACGTCGCTCGTTTGCGATCGGAGCTGCTCACCTTGGAAGAGGCTTGCTTGACGTCGGTGGAGGACGTCGCCTGCTGCTTGACAGTGGACGATCCTACCTTGTGATCTGTGAGGAACAGAGGGCGAAAGCATGTGGAAGAGAGAAAGAGCGAGCAAGTGATAGAGAGCATAGAGAGAGGAGAAGGCGAGGGGAAGAGGGGGAGAGAAAGTAAGAAAGGAGGTGAGAAAGAAGGAGCAGGTAGCAGAAAGAAAGCCGTGGGAGAGGGTTTAGATGAAAGAATGAGAGAGAGAGAGAGAGAGAGAGAGAGACAGTGTTAATCTCATACAATTCTTTATAAGAACTTTTCTTCTACTCAAGGGTAGAGGCCTTCAAGGAAATGAAACATCCAATGCCTATGAAGATGATGATGATGATCAGGGTGATATCAAAAATTGAATTCTGTCCCCACCCCCCCCCTCCTTTTTTTTGGGGGGGGGGGGGGTCCATTTTTCCCAAGGATTATTTAATAACCTGGACTGATTTCCATCTTTTCTTACTGCAATTAACAAAGAGCATGTTTTAATTATGATTTCTTTTTTAAAACATATTTCATGATTAGGAATTAGACTTACCTCTCTCAGGTGCTATCTTAGATTTCTTCTCTGGTCTTGTATTGCTTGACGGCTCTCCTGGACGTTTCTTGCTTTCTTCTGTAGTAGGCTGTGGGATGGAGAAACATACACCAAGTATGATTAATTCATTCATATTTTTAGTTCTCACACAATTACCATATACAGTCAAACCTGTCTGTAGTGACCACCCAAGGGAAACACAAAAGTGGCCTTTGTAGACAGGTGGTCTTTGTAGACAGGTTCCTTTAGTACATGTTTCAATGAGAAACCGTTTTCAAGGGAAACAACAAATGTGGCCTTTGTAGACAGGTGGTCACTAAAGCAGGTTTCACTGTATATTTAATATCCTATGTCTGTTTTAAAAATATTATACAAAACAAAATAATATAAGAACGAAAGACCATATACACCTGTTTAAGAAAAATAAATTATAGTGCCCATTTGAGGAAAATAAAAGCCTATTAAAAGCTCATTCAGATATGTAGCGGCAAAACCACAGCAGTCTTTTTATGATGACCTAAAGTATAATACTGTTAAGCCTGCATGACTCAAAGTCGGACAAGTCAAATTTTTTAATCCACTTTTTTGGTTACACTTCCTAAGTAGGACTATTTTTAAGTGGTCCAACACATTAGACTTATGCAGACTTAAACGTATTGTCTTGCAGCATATCAAAGGGTCAAAGCAGTTTTACAAATTAAAAGCATGCACTTTTATATTTTTAGTACCTATGCGGGGGGAGAAGGTGCCCGTGGTATTCCCCCTGCCCCTAAAGTCCCACACGTTCGGTAAACATGTAGGTACCAAGGGTAAACATGTAGGTACCAAGGGTAAACATGTAGGTACCAAGGGTAAACATGTAGGTACCAAGGGTAAACATGTAGGTACCAAGGGTAAACATGTAGGTACCAAGGGTAAACATGTAGGTACCAAGGGTGTTCAACACTGGTGAGAACCCTGAGGAACATACCTTGCTTATCAGGTTGAGTTTGATCTCTTTACGAGCAGCATGCTTTAGAATGCCCTGCTGATTAGAGGAGCTCGGTCGACTGGTGCTAGAGCTAGCCACAGGAGGTCCACGTTCTTTCATCCTGTGAAAATAGTGTGGCATATCAAAGGTAAGATTTCTTGACGATGGATAACTGTTCAAATAATTATTGTTCAGCAATTCTTAGATGCGTTTCAAAGCACACTGTCCCTGAATTAATGATTATACTTTGCTCCAAGATATGCAGCGAAGAGTAAGCACTCTATTAATCAATGGTAAAAAGGATGAATGAACAAATTGTTTGGTAGGGAACAAAATTTGTTTAGGCCTAACATTTTCCATATTTTCAAAATGGATGCCATGGGTCTTGTGGGACCATCAATGAGATATAAAGTTGCCCATGGCAAAGGAATAGAAGGTCGTACCGCGAGAGATCATCTATAAATGCAGAATACTACTTTGAACATGGCATATATGGATCTGACCAAGTAGTAGAATAGGTGCATATGTCTTATGGCTCTACTGCTCAATTACTTATTGTAGCAATAACAACCGTAGAACGTTTTGTAAAACATATATTCGTCTCAATCACTCTGATTAATTCATATATATGACCGAATTCATATAAAGTTCTAAAGAGTGCTGTCTGAGAAACAATATTCATGACTATCTTGAAGAAAAAAAACTGAATAAACTCCCCGATACTTACTTCTGTTCTGATGGCTTTGCTCCAGTCTTTCCTTCTGTCCCCTTTGAGGGTTTTGCCTTTGGCTGCTGCGTGGTAGTGCTGCTGGGTCTCTGAGCCGCCTGTACCTTGGTGCTACTGCTGGGACGCTCTCCTGAAGATGACTTTGACAGAGACTTGCCTACAGGTCCACCTCTGGGCTGCACCTTTCCTGTTGCTGCTGCTGATCTATCAGGGGGAGGTTTACCAACGGGTACCTTGGTAACCTTCTTGGATACTGCTGGGCGGATCGGTTGAGCAGAAGGTTTGGACGTAGGTTTAGCCATCTTGTCTTGCTTTATTAGAGGAGCTCTGGGTTTAATAGAGGAGGATACAGCTGACGATGGTTTGGAAGGCCCTTTAGTACCTTTGGTTCCACGCTTCTGGGCTGGAGGCATCTCTGTGGAACTAGCAGATGATACTGGGCTAGCGAGATTGGCATACATGTTCTCAGAATCTGCACTAGACACAGATGACCTGCTGCTGACAGAACTGCTTCTTGAGCGGGACCGGGAATGCGAGAAGGACCTTGAGCGGCGTGGTGGTGGTCTTCCTGCAGCTAGTCCAGTTCCTGACCTGTCTCCTGCTGGCCTAGTAGCTGCTGACCTAGGAGCTCCTGGCCTAGGAGCCCCTGGCCTAGATGGTGCTTGCCTGGCCGTTTCTGGCCTAGCTTGTCCTGATCGAGGTGGTCCTGATCTATCTGGTCCCGGTCTAGGGTGTCCTGGTCTGGGTTGTCCTGGCCTAACTTGTCCTGGCCGAGGTTGTCCAGGTCGAGGTTGTCCAGGCCGAGTTTGTCCAGGCCGAGGTTGTCCAGGCCGAGGTTGTCCTTGCCTTGGCGCTCCTGGTCTAGACCTGGTCATGGACCTAGACCTAGATCTGGAACAGGAGCGAGAAGATGAGGAGGAGCCGGAGTAGCTCCGAGAGCGGGAGCGAGACCTGGACCGACTATAGCTACTATAGCTAGATCGACTGCTGATGCTGCTTAGACTCTCTGATCTGGATCTGGAGCGCGATCTACGGTTCATTGGCACTGGCTTTGGGAAAGCTGATTTGCCCTTCATTGGTGGCTGTTATATTGAAACGAAAAATAAATAGAAAAGCACATCAATCAAACTCTAAACCTTGTAAGCACTCAATTGCAAGTAACTTATCACACCCCCCCCCCCCCAAACATAAAATAAATAAGGCATTCCATGAAACATTGAGAGTATAACAATGCCAGATATCTTGTCTACCTGCAACATTGTCCCAACGAGTTCATATTCACGGCGGTCATTTTCATCATAATCAATTTCCAGCAACTTTTTGATATGTTAGGCTGGCCTAAAATACTTTACAACTTATAATGATTTCATGATAATAATCATAATTTTTGATCAAAATTAATGAAGAGAATTCACAATGATTGTAAAAGATGTTTCTCAAAACGAAGCCTCACTAAGTGGAGCATACCTGTTTATCAGACATCTTGGTCGGGGAAGTCTTGGGTTGAGGTGCACCAGGACCCACAGGTTTCCTGGCTGATGGCTGCGCACCAGGAGGCCTTCCAACAGATTGCTTGGCTACCACTGGACGTCCAGCCGTTGGTCTGGAACCAGGCGGTCGTCCCTGGGATGGGGCCTGACCTCTCTGCTGCTGGGATTGTGCTGGTTTGGATGATCTGAGGCAAGAAGTGAGACATTAAAAATGTAAATCTTGACAAACACCAAAATTTAGTAAAAAGAGTAATATTTCATTCTCATTTTAGCTTCTCTATTATTACCTCTGACTTTAATATCGAAAAGTAATGCAAAAACTCTTGCTTGCTAATAGTTTTTTTTCACATTATTAAAGAAGGAGTGAGATTTATTTTTGTTGTGTCAATAAAATTCAAGTTTTCAGCCCATTTTTCAAATATCCAGAGATAAATTCTTTTACTGCAACAAATTTTCTACAAATTTTTTCCATTACAAATTGTTTCTAGAAAGGATTTCAAGTCAGAATACTTGAGATGAAAAATGAAATGACTTGCCAGTCATAAGGCACACCTATGATGTTCAACATTTGCAGTAAAAAATCTTTTGATTACATTTCTCAAGCTTCCTACAAACTCACGGTACTGGTTTAGCGGTAGACTTCACAGCAGGCTTTGCCCCTGGTTTGGCTATAGGCTGCGCTGCCCCTGGCTTCGCTACCGGCTTCGCCCCTAACCTTCCCTTGAGTTTAGCTGGTGGTGACCTGCTCCTGCTGCGTGAAGAGAAGCTAGAATAGGACTGGGAGCCAGGAGACTTGGACCTTGACCTTGACCGGGAGGAGCCACTGTAAGAGCTCCTGGAGGAGCTTCTGCTGCGGGAGGAGAACGAGCGGGACCTGGACCGGGAATCTGACCTGGATCTGGATCGAGACGAGCTGGAAAGAAGAAAATGACGGGGAAATACAATGAATCAGGCTTCTAACCATTTATTATTGTGTCCAACCCTTTGTAAATGTCGGAGTAAATAAGCAAAGTCACTGAATCACGAACATCGATTTAGAAAGACCTTGACAACTAAAGCTGAAAATCAAAGCTTGATAAAGCAATTTCGGGTTAAAATATTTAAATTCTCTTCAAATTTTGTATATAAATCTGAAGACTGTTTAATTTGAATTTTTTGGTTGAATCATTTGTCATGATAACATCCATCCTGCCAAGTTTTCCAAACTGCAATGTGGGACAACTGTAATCAATTCCATTAGAGCGAAGTGTATAAAGGCCAGGGGTCCAGAGCCCCCAGAAATTCATGGGTTTTGGCACTTTCAGGAAAGGGTATCTAGAGGCCTAAAAATAAATATTTTTCGTGTTTAATTTTTTTGATGTTTTTTAACAGCATTAAAAAAAAAGATTGGAGAATAGTCCCCCAAAAAGCGAGACACTTGGCAGGTCTGTAGCATCCAGTGATACTAAACAGAACACACATTAAACTTACTATGATCTGTCGCTATACGATGCTGACGAGTTTGATCTTGATCTTGGGCGACGCCCACCTCCAACTGTTGATCTGCCTTTCTTTCCAGGTGACTTGGTCCTTGCCCAAGGATCCTGCCAAGAATCTGGTGCTTTGTCCTTACCAGCCTTCCCAGCCGTGGGACCACCATCTCCCGCCTTGATCCCTGGCTTGTCTCTTCGGGGCAAGTTCCTCATGGCCCCAGGACGCTCATCGCGACGCTTGTCCGCAAGGCCTCCTGGACTTCGCCCGCGACGGAAGGGCGGCTGCTGCTGCTGCTGCTGCTGTGGAGGACGCTGGCCTCGGAACTGTTGCTGGCGGTTGCGGTTGAAGTTGTTCTGCTGCCAGTCGTTGCGTTGTCTACCCTGGTTCATCATCCTCCTTCTAGGGTCATTGAACTATTTCAGGGTGGGGCAAAGAACAGTGATGTAATAAAGGCTTGTATTCCATACATGGAATACTCATAGGGCAGGGGTGATAGTGAGAGATTAAAAAAAAAGTTGTAGAAATCAGAGCGCTCGCAGGAGTTCAAGCAACTCATGAAACCAGATGGAACTTTGACTGCACGCAGTCGAAAATGATGCCTCCGTCATAGAGCAAGTTTACAAACCAAAACAGAAGAAATTTTTCGAATTCAAGTTTCATTCAAGATTACAAGCAATTTCTCATATACATATATGACCCTTTGATCTTTGACCTCATGACCCTAAAATCTACTCAGTTCATTGGCTCTGCAAGATACATATATGATCTAAGTTTGGCAGGAATCCATCAATCGGTTCTTGAGGTAACACGATCACGAGCTGTTTTTGCATATATAATGAGCCCTGTGACCTTTGACCTCGTGACCCCAAAATCTAATCAGTTCATCGGCTCTGCAAGATACATACATGATCAAAGTTTGGCAGGAATCCATCAATCGGTTCTTCAGATAACGCAATCACGAGAACGGGACGTACGGACGGACCCGAAAACATAAAAAAGGCACCTCATCCCCCCTAATTTTAAAGTGGATTTACATCGATCTCAAGGCCTTCCCATTTTTTGAGAAAAAATATTTCAAAAACTCAGGAGAAAAATTAGTTACTGATAAGTATTACAGGAGAGACTAATAGGGCAAGAAAAATGATGACCACAACACCATACTCACATCTTGTTGAACTCTGTAGACCTGTCTGGGAGGGGAGGGTTGTTGCTCCCTAAAGTTGAAGTTCCTCTCATAGTGTTCAGGGGGCATTGGATAGGGGTATTGCTCTGGGGGGTATACATCACCTTGCCTGTAAAACAACAGAATTGCAAAGAGAACAATTATAAAACAAATGGAAGTGAACTTGAATACGGAATTCACATAATCTGCAGATTTCTTTCAATAGCAAGCATGATATATATAAGTTCTGCAGTTTGGGTAAAGATCCAAGAAATGCATAATATGTCTACCTATTGAAAATATCACAAGATCCATCTCCACAGAGAAATATTCACCCTAAAACCAATTAAAAATTTACGCTAACTAAATTTTCCTCCAAAGAGAACTTGAAGATAAAGTTGATTTCTTGTCATGCGATTGCATTGTGAAAGGGGGGGGGGGGCTTCTAAGGCCCCCTCCCCTATGATCTTGGCCGTGAAACGACCTATCGCCGCAAAAATTTGCATGCATGTCAAGTGAAGTGTATAGAATACTATGGTAATTTCAATTTTTTCGAAAAATTCAAATTTGCATATTTATGGTAATTTATGCAAATATGATAATAACATTCACATTTTTATCCATAAATCATATATTCTTCATATTTAAACATTAATTTTCACTACATATGCTATTTAGACCATTTGGGATAATAATACAGCCAAAAAAATTGGAAGAGCCAGGTTATTCCTTATGATATTAAAACCTTACATTATCTATTGTTTTGATAATTTCTTATGTATATCTTTGTTTCTTTAACTTATGTATTTTATTGTTTTTGTTGTTTTATTTCATTTCCAACTATAATTCAACTATTTTTACCCCAAAAAGAACACCTAAGCTATAAACAAGACCAAATAACCAATGTTTTATCTTTTTATTTGGAAAATGAGATTTCCAAATGTTTTGTACACAAATCACAAAAATGAGCGATTTTTGGGCTGACATGCAAAGACAAATGCACACGTGACTTTGTAATGGTAGGTCCGTTTTTCAAACAAATTCTTTCAAAAGATGCGCAAGACTCTAAAGAAAAAAGTCACAAAATTTTCTTGCATTAAAATATTATCGCGAAAATTGTCGAGGGGGGGGGCTTTAGAAGCCCCCCCCCCCGGGCTAGATAGGGTTAAGGCCCTATGAATACTTGTAGGCCATGACCTAAGTGATTGCAAATGACACGTCATCCCAGAAATGACCTGAAAGTTTAGCTCTATCTGAACTTTATAAATACATCAAATGCAAATTCCAAAGAGTCTAGTGTTTGCTAATTCTAATACATTGTATAACTCTTCAAAAAGACCATCTTTGACACAAGAACTTACATGGAAGCGTCATCATTATCGCCTTTTTCTGGGAAGAATTCATTCTCTTTGTCAAAGTCGTTTTCTTCATCAATCATGTCCCCTATGGTCTTCTGTTCTTCAGGAAGAACACCCTTTTCTTTCAGCTCCATGGCCTTCTTACGAAGCTGTCAAGAAAAAGAAAGAAAACCCTCAGTATAAAACATCGCAGATATTATACTCAAATGATACTGTTTACAAAATAACAAAAGAAAAAAAAAGATTAAACATCTTCTTTTTCATTAGCTAAGCCTCGTGGCAATTTGTTCTTTATAAATGTCTCCTGTTCTCCCTTAAAGGCATTGCTTAACAATGTTTCCAGTTTTACAAATCTAAGAAGCATGGCCCTACGTGTATCAGTGTTATCAGCTAATTTCATTAGCTCAGACCAAAAAAAGATCAACAGCTTGTTTTCAAACACCTCTGCAGAAATTTGTTTGCATTTGTTTGCAAGGAATATTAAGTATCACAGGCTATGAATCATACTTGCTGTCTATATAATAATGTGTAACTTCAAGCACAGTTCTTACTGGCATTGTTTTAATTATATAAACTGCCACCCCCCCCCCCCCCTAGATTCTGCATGTTGAAATTGTTTCACATTATGATTACATCTCTTGCAGGTTTGGAGATAGGGGTATCGGCAATAATTAATTATTTCAGTTGCAATGATTTTCTCCTTACTTTTCTTCAGAATCTTACCCCCGTCTTTGAGAAGAAATTTCAATGTGAGAACAAACATCCATTTAACATAGAGCCTCAACCCTTTTCTTTTCTTTTGAGGTAGTATTAAATAATTGTTTAACTTTCTGGACAAAACCTTCTCACCTCTCTGGCGTGTCTAAGACCCCTCTCCCAGGCACTCTCAGGGCGTGGCTCCTCCGGTGGTGGGGGAAGGAACTCTTCTTCTTCCTAGAAAAGGACAATTCATCAACAAAGACAGTATAATGCTATCAGCTATTAGCCACTTCAGAGAAATATGTAGTACTTGTGCAAATGACCCAAAATACCCACAGACCTTAAATTACACATGAGGATGGGTAAGGTTGATGCTTCCCTTTAATTTCTTTAATTAGCAATTTCAAATTACCACCAGCTTATGGAGCATTGTCAAAAGATTTGCTTTATAGGAGTTGTGTCATAATTGCACATTTGTCTTAAATATTACAAAGAGCTCGTACACCTACACATGAACATACAAATACAGAAACAAATAATAAACATTATTATATAAGGCTTCCTAGTAGTACAATAAATCAGTTTATTCAATATCTCTAGTGCAGTACCCGGATGACTGACCAATATTGTTTTCGTATTTCTCAGTCATCCGAGAACTTCAACTATCGATATCGATATCATGGTGATATCACATAAAAACAAAGCCATATTTACAGAGGAATTTCAAATTTCGTTATTTCGCTAGTCAGACTAATATAGATAATAACAATATTGTATGGCTTTGTTTTCTTGTGATACAAGAATATATTGCTCTCGCTAAGATATTAGACTCGTCTGATATTGTCATAGCTCGAGCAATATATTCTTGTATCACACTCAAAGCCATATAAGTACAGCTCACAATCTAGCCATGAACAAGTGAAATACTTGATTATCAAACCACTCAGCAAGGGCAGGACTTCTGAGGTGTTGCGCAGGGATTGCTTACCTCAGGAGGAGGGGGAGGCAGGTCTTCCTTAGGAGGGGGTGAGGGGGGCTCAAGGGGCTGCCCTAGTAACACGGCCTGGGCATTGTGAAGCTCTCTCCTGTCAATTAATGAGTAGTTGCCTATTGGGAGGAGGAAAAAAATGAACAGAAAATATGAAGCCTCTTTGGACCTTGTGGCAGATTAGCTCTGTGCTAAACAAGTAATCAAATAAAGTCTACTACTACTACTACTACTACTACTACTACTACTACTACTAGCTACTACTAGTAGTACTTTTGAAACAGATGAATACATTTCTGACCTCTGTAAAGCAAATTTATATATTTCTTTACATCAGTGGTAACACAGTGTGATACAAAACTGTACCGGAACTAACTTGAGCGGTATTCAGGAGTTAACCATCAGTGCATAACTATTTGCAGAAAGAAAAAGAAAAAATCTAATTTTTCAGGTTTTAGTTAATGATATGTTGTAGTTGGAACAGAAATATCATCACTCAACTCTGACCACCAATGACAAAGATTTCCACTATAAAATTCACTGAAAACCATACTTTTCATATTTATACAAGTTTAATTTGTTTTTTTAAATGGTCGTGATGATAAGATCACAATAATGTACTAACCCTTATCATTGATGCCCGGGTGTATGAAGCGACAGTTATTCCCCCAAAAGCATTGCCCTCTGGTGTAGAATCGACATGTAGGACGAACGTCCGGTTTCTTCTTCTCCACCGGGTCTTTGACCTCTCCTTCTTCCATGTCATCATCCTTGAGAAGAAACAATGAGCAAAGTAATGAACATACTCCATGTATTAGTTCAAAGGATTACAAATATGTACACATGTTCTAGCAATAATAATAATATGAGATTTGTAAGGCACTGAATCCATTTGAAATCAAATGCTAATGGCATACCAGTAATGTTCTGCAATCAATCAGCACTTAAAAATGTCATACATATAACCTGTGTGAAGCTTTGCCAGGGTCTCATATATGCATGGATCTACTGTACTGGCTCAAATTATAAATTGATTATCTAAAAAAAAAAATCCACTTCAGTATACACTGTAATGCACTGTATATAAACATGGAGTCCTGTTTCTTGATTCTAGAAAACATTCCAAGAATAATTAGTACAAATTCTTTGACTACAGTAAAGTTTTTCTCCATGCCCACATGTTTACTCTACCGTATTTGCCGGTGTAAAAGCCACAGTATTTTTGGAAGAGAAAATATCAAAAAGTCGGGTGCGGTCTTTACAAAAAAAGAGTAAAAAAAAAAAAAAAAAAAAGTCAAAACCAGCACAAATTTGCACGTATGGGACTAAAAACCGTAAAATAACAATACCACTATGGTACAGGACATTTCCAAACATCTTACCGACAATTTTATCTTGCATTGTTGACATGAAGACGAAAATAAACGTCCTAACACAACATTTGCCGATAGATCTTGATCTAAGTTCGTGCCAATGCATTGCAAAAGTAAAGGAAGGGACCGTCCAACGGAGCTGCCGCAAACATCCATCCGAAGTAGCCATTTTGTTTTTCCATTTCATGCAGTTTCGCATTACACCGTACATTGTGGTAGGGGTATATCGGACACCAAATCTGCTTGCGATCACTTTTTTAGCTAAATTTCCGGTAAATTATAAGAATATGGATGAATTTGGTATCAGTTTGTAAAAAAAAATAGTGTTTTCGAGAAAATTATGATTATTTTGTTTTGTCCGTTTTTTGTTTTTCCTCTTTGAAATGTCAAAGTTGGGGTACGGCCTATGCGGCGGTGCGGCCTTATCGCCGGCAAATACAGTATTTAAATGGTGTTATTCTGCATTTCTAATATTGAAAAGAAAGTTTACACAACCAATTGATATATTAGACATGAAATTATGCAACTGCAAAACTTAATAATGGGATTAGTAAATACTGGTCAGTTTTGCTTTCCAATATACAAATTGTACATGTACAATGTAGTTCTGTGTTGACACATTTACAATTTTTGTTCATCCCTCACTTATGTGAAACCCTACAATCAAACTTGTACCTGCAGTAAACAGACCATCAACACATACATATAAGAATAACTTTGATTTAAAAGCAATTGTCCCGGACTCACAATGAGATACAGCAAAATTTTAGGAGGAGCAGCAGGACAACCTTGTTTTTGATAACTTTAAAAAAAATGAACCCTCACAAAATGGGCCTGTCCTACTCGAGCCATGTCCAATTTCATGCTGCCTTACAACTTTAGCAAATGGGATAGTTTCAAGACCATAAACAAGGTGATGTTTACAATAACACATCATGCATGTAAGTATTGCTTTTTCACATAGCAAGACAAACAGCTAAATCTTACAGAAAATTTATAAAAAATTTACTGGCATCTTTGAAAGCAGATTCCAAGTTGCCCTGTACATTGGTTTTACAGTAAACGGTGTATAAACCGCCCTCGTGTATTAACCGCACCCCTCTTTTTCGCCCTAAAAAAAAATATATATATACATGTATTATAGTATTAATGACTGCTTTGAGAGAAATAGTTGTTTTTATACGCTCAAGGGAAGGTTAGAATTGTGCTATTGCCCCGAGGCGTGCCGAGGGCAATAGCCCAATTGTAACCTTCCCGAGAGCGTATAAAAACAGCTATTTCTCGAATATTAAAGCAGTCATTAATACTTTTATATGCCGAAAACAAAATAAAAAATAAAAAAAATAAATAAAAAAAAACATTTGTCAAAGATGGGATTCGATCTCTTGCGTACCAAAGGTGATGTAACAAAAACCGCTGCCTTAGACCGCTCGGCTATCGCGCTCTGTTGCCATACATAGCAGTTTTTTCTTATATATACATTAAAATGGATTGAAAACGGCTTCGCGTGGTGGAAGCTTCGCGGCTGCTCCATTAAACAGGCCCTTCTTTTACTTTTGCAATGCATATTGGCACGAATTTAGATCAAGATCTATCGGCAAATGTTGTTTTTTTGTTTTTGGAAGTTTATTTTCGTCTTAATGTCAACAATGCAAGATAAAATTGTCGGTAAGATCGATCGAGATTCAATTGTATTGAAATTACCGACCAATTCCTCGCACACGTACGGTATCCACAATCACTCAGACCATTTTTTAACATGTAAACCTATGGGGTAACCATGGAGACTGACCTATTTTCCCAATAACCATGGTTATTGGGATTTTGAACTGTTTTTTAACCATGGTTACCGGGAATTTTCGGGAACAGTTAAAGTTTATGAATGCAATTTCGACCAATCAGATTGCTGGATTACTTAAGTGAGGTATATAAATATATATATTGCCGACTTTGTCACCAGCAAGCCAGGTCCGTGTTAAAAAAACCCACGCGGGAAGGCCTTTCATTTAAGTGCGAGGTGCAGCTGAATGTGTAAGATCACTAATTTAAATTAAAAATAGTAGAGGACCTAGGATAGAACCTTGTGGTACGCCGTGTCATAGAAGAAAAATTGGAGGAGTTATTATTATAAACTACATATTGAATTCTATCAGAAAGATTACTTTCAAACCAAGATGACAGAAAAATTTGAGTGTTGTTCTAGTTTCCGAGTGGTGAGTCAACACACCGATTACTGAGCTGTGAGACGTTGCCAGGCATAGCGCCAGGTGGAGGGGCATAAATCGAAACTTAAAAAAAAATAATAATAATTTGGTATACCGTGTATAAACTAGGCCTGAGTCATGTCGGGATTTTCATAAACCGGGTCCCGACGGCCTTGTACCGATCGGGACCCGGTGTCCCGAAATCAGCTCGCAGGATTTGTCACTTAAAAAGCGCATATCATCAGTATGTCCCTTAAAAGTGACCTTTTTTATCAATCAAATTAATAAACACATGCATACCTCGGCTCAGATCGGTATATTATTCCATTTGACATTATTTTCATCCATGATTGGCGATGTTTAGTGCCATTTTCGTGCCTCTAAAAATAAAAAAACTGGGGCAGAAATGGAAAGACAACATTCGAGCCGCCATTTTGATTTATGCAGGTTGAATAAATCTGGTCAAAAAATATGAATGTTATAATAATAAAACGGCTTTCTAAAAATTTCTTCTATACAATACACCGATCATATAATATTTTAAAGACAAAATAAATATTTATCTCTTATTTTAAACATCGCATGCTTTTTTTTTAAAGCTGAAAATTACTTGGTAATCAAGAGTTTCGATACGGAGAGCCGTTGCAAGGCAAGTTCAGACTAGTCTCAGAAAAATGCGCAGTGCTCCTCGTAAATAGCTGTAATGCGTGCCAGAACGAACCCAAACAAAGACGTGATCGTAACGAGAAAAAAATCATTAAAAACTACGAGAGCACAATTGGAAAGACAACTACTGCTCAAAATTACCATAATCAGATAGATAACTTGGACAAAGAATTCAATAATCACCCAAGAAATGTCACAGAAATTGTGATAATCGAGGAGTAACTGGGTACATTTTTATCGCAAGGAGCCTGCTGCAAATACTTGAATCCTTTGTTATACTGCTTTTTACCGTAGAGGACGGTATTTGCCTCGTATAGCCTCGTGTTCAATTTAAACACGTGTAATTCAGATATTGCAACAGGCCCTTCCGATAATGATTGAACCTATAGTAACTTCTTAAATATCACTATTTATATGTCTTTTCTTGGACAACTATTGTTTTCTTCCTCCAAGTTATGTATCTGCTTACGATAATTTTGAGTAGTTGTCTTTCCAATTGTGCTCTCGTAGTTTTTAATGATTTTTTTCTCGTTACGGTCACGTCTTTGTTTGGGTTCGTTCTGGCACGCATTACAGCTACCGAGGAGCACTGCGCATTTTTCCGAGACTAGTCTGAACTTGCCTTGCAACGTATCGAAACTTCTTGTGATTACCAAGTAATTTTCAGCTTTTAAAAGAAGCATGCGGTGTTCAAAATCAAAGAAAAAATATATATTTTTGTCTTTTAAAAATTATTCGATCGGTATGTTGTAAAGAAGTACTTTTTAGAAAGCCGTTTTATTATTCAAACATTAATGTTTCTTTCAACCTGATTTATTAATCCTGCCGAGAGACCCGGCCAGTACAGTAGCTAGCTAGCAGCTGGCAACAACAACCCCATGGGCCAGGCGAACTGCCTTGCAATCCATATTTATATCACTTATCAGCCGTTCGGATTGATTGAGGATGAGCTAGAATATGATTATGGTAACCATTAAATACTTAAGTTTTAAGGTGGATTGATTTTAGTGGTGTGCAAAACTGCAATTTCTTTCATATTTTTTTCGGAGCGTCGGTTCTCAAAAAACGAAACCGGGACCCGACGGCAACGGTCGGGTCCCGGTGTGATCGACCGTACCGACTCAAGCCTAGTATAAACCGTACCCCCCAACTTTGAATTTTTCTGGCGGCAAAAAGGTGCGGTTAATACACCGTTAATTACGGTACATTCATCAGACTAAAAATAGCACATCTGAAAAGAAATACTTACATCTAATTCTCCATCTTCTCCTTCGTCTTCCTCTTGACATTCACCATCATCGTCATCTTTCAACTCTCCATCACCTTCAGATTCCACAAGCCCTGCATCTTCCTCTTGCTGATCGTCCACCTTTTCCTCCTCAACCACAGAATCTTTCTTTTCCTCGTCCTCGTCCTCCTCCTCCTCTTCATCTGCTTGCTCCCCCAAAGGTTCCTGGTGATAAGGTTGTGCATGGTCATCGACATCTTCCTCAAAGTCCAGCTCATCACCATGATCCTCTATATGATGCACTTCAACCACTGCTGCAGCTGAACGCTCACGGTACTTTCGGGATGTTTTTAAAGGCTCTGTTGGCACTGTCAAATCTAAATGGTCATCATCATCCTCATAAGCATCACCTCTATGGTGATCTTTATGCACTTCTTGCTCATGATCATCTTGATCAGGCTGAAGTCTATCATCCTCCTTCTGAGTTCTTAAATCAATATCCTCAGTACTTTGGTCACCTCGCTTGTTATCATTACCATCTTCTTCATCACCTGAAAGTTTTGATAACCTACTACTATCATCATCTCCTTCTTGGAATATTTGCTCTCCATCTCGGTATTTCTCTTCTGCTTCTTCATCTTGATGTTCTTGAAAAGATTGTTCTTCATCTTGAAGTTCTTGAGCAGATTGTTCTTCATCTTGAAGTTCTTGAGCAGATTGTTCTTCATCTTGAAGTTCTTGAGCAGATTGTTCTGCACCAGAAGATGTACTAACTCCTGTCCTTTGATCATAAGAATAATCTTCCTGCCCATAGCAAGGCACAGTCGGTGATTTCACTGTTTCATCAAGCTCCTCGCTTGATTCGGCAACATCAGCACTGGAAGTGGGCGCTTCATCGTCTCCTCCCCTATCAAACATGTCAGACTCCTCGTCTCTACTCTCTGAAAACTCCACTCCCTCGCTGTCTTGTGTCATTAAAGGTTCACTTTCATCCGCGCTCTCTGCCGTACTTGTCATTGGACTGGCCGGTGTTGCAAGTTCTACCCCGCTACTCTCCTCCTCTCCTTCTCGCTCTAGTCTTTCGCTCTGTAACCTGACAGAGGACTCAGTCTCTGAGGGAGTAGCATAGTCAAACTCTGCTGCTTCACTCCCACTCTGCGCAGTCCCAGGGCTTTCAGGTGGAGAGCCAGCCGGGCTACGGGGACCCCCTCCTTCTACCCCTTTGCCTCCTGACTCTGAAAATCCACTCATTTGATGGAAGTCTTCATGGCAACTGTAAAACATGTCTCCTTCCCTTGCAGATTTTTCACCAACATCTTCTTGGTATTCGTTCCCTGATGTATAATCCATCTCTTCTTCTTCCTCTAGCTCCTCCTCCTCCTCCTCAGTTCCTTGGACGATTCTTCCGTTCTCTCCATCATCATCAAACTGATGAGCAGTGTTCCTTACTGTCGAAAATCCATCTTCTGGGATACAAGGTTCCATACCGTCCTGCGAGATTCCGTCATCTTCACTTTCAGAATCCATGCTTGTACTGAACTCATTGTCATCCATGATTTCTGGAAGTATTCTGAAGAAGAAAAAGAAGGAAGAAATTAAGAACATTCTTATTTGTACGGCATAAATATGGGTGCTAGTGTAGTTCCGTATCCATTTTTAGCAGTTTCATATCCATTCTTAGCAAAGGAAATTTAGCCCAATTATTTACTAATTTTAATTATAATCATATATCACATTTTTCACCTGAATTTGGATCACATCCAAAATCGGGAAGCCTCCGTTTAAGGCTTTGATGTCGACGTCGTCGCTCAGTAGGCCTACCGTCTCTACGCTATAGCTTTGCAACTCAAACTGAAGCTATCAGTCCAAAATTATGCAAACTTCTTGTATGGTTTATGGTATTACGAGCATGCACGATACCATAACCGATACGAGAAGTTTGCATAATTTTGGACTGAGCTTCAGTCTGAGGTGCGGAGCTATAGCATAGAGACGGTATACTGAGCAAGGACGTCGACATCGAAGCCCTAAACAGAGGTTTCCCGATGTCGGATATGATCCAAATTCAGGTGGAAAATGCAATATATGATTATAATTAAAATTAGTAAAAAAATTGGGCTAAAATTCTTTTGCTAAGAATGGACATTGAACTGTTAAAAAAAAATGGATAGGGAACTAGACTCTACACTAGCGCCTAAATATGAACATGATGAACCATGAATGATCGAATGATCGTCTAATTATGTGAGCAGTGGTTGGACACACAATTCACCACAACGGCAAAACTAACCATGACAATTTCACACCAGCTGCAGCTTCAAAGATCTCATTCTCAGGCTCTGGCAGTGGCAGTTTACATCGTCATTTATCTGATCATGCATGCACTGCCACGGCCACTGATCTGCCTGTTCACACAGCACTGCACGACTCGCAGCGACAATGCACTGCTGCTCCTCTGTGCTATTACTAGGCCCACACCATTTCAATCACACAGGCATTCGCAAACTGCAAAGAGACCGTCGAAAACGTCATCTAAATTCCGGCTTTGTCTACGATCTATGAGAAAATGAGTGCATCAGTTATAAAGAATATTTATCAAATACCATGACTTACAGTATAAGAACTCTCTAAAATCAACGAATAGATGTTAAAAACTAGTCATATTCGTAATTCACATCCTCATCTTGACATTTTGCCTGGCTTTATATTGACTACTCAATGATTCGGCCACAGTTTTTTCGCCCGATACAGAAATCTGGATCGCCCTCCAAGAGATTTGTATGTATATATTTTATATACAAATTTTACATAGATTCAGGTTTCATGAAAATGGGTTGTGCTCATTTTGCAAAAATGTTGAAGAAACTTATTATCAGCATGTATTCTTGAATGTAATACAATAAAGGAAGTCTGGGGGAAATGTGCAGATAGACTTAATTTACCAATTCTGAAGAAATTATCCTGGAAAGAAATTCATATAATAGATGACAGCAGGCGCGTATACGTACGCAGGGGCGGTGTTTGGGGGGTTAAACCCTCCCCCCCCCTTTGGTATTTTTATGTGTGTAAACCCCCCTAAAAAAAACCTAAAACCCCCCCCCCCCCCCCCCTTTGGATTTTTTTAAAAAATTTTATTTTAATTATTGAAAAAAAAAGAAAAAAAAAAAAAAATTCACCCCCATGGCTGACCTAAAAAAGGTGACCTTACCCCCCCCCCCCCCCAACGGAGCAAAATGTCAAATTTTCAAATTTCGAGACCAAAAAAAAAAAAAAAAGTGTCCTCTTACCCCCCCCCCCCCCCCCCCCCCCCCCCCCCCTGAGCGACTTTTCGGCTGGCCTGAGTCGTTGCGATTTTAAAAAGTGTCCGCTTCCCCCCCCCCCCCCCCCCACTGAGCGACTTTTTGGCCGGCGCGATTTTCAAATTTTCCTGAGTCGTTGCGAAATTTTGGACCCGATTTTAAAACCCCCCCCCCCCCCCCCCCCTTCAAAAAATCCTGCGTACGCCACTGGATGACAGTACCATAAAAATACAACAATTATTGAACCATATTTTGATTTTTAATTAAATATATGATTTTCCAAAGTAGATAGAAGGAAAATGCCCCAAAAGCAAAAGAAATATAAGATAGATTACTGGAAAATAGAAATGAGGAGAAAAAACTTTCAGTAAAAAGGAATACCCTTTCAATAATCATTCAGCGAAATGGGAAGTCTTGTAAAGTGTTGAATAAATGTATTTAGTTGTTTTTTTTTCAATATACAACTTCTTGACCCTCTCCTTTTCTCTACTACCCTCACTTTTCTTTTCTCATTTTTGTTGTTGTTGTTCGTTTGGTGTGTGTGTTTTTTTTTCCTTCGTCCTTGTTTTCGGGCGTTTAGTGTTGTTTGGGGCGGGGGGGGGGCAGTAGGTGTTCTCTTTCTCTTTTTCTTCTTTTATCATATATATTTTTCTTTCTTTTTATCATAACCCTTTTCTTTTTGAAGGAAATTTTGAAAAATTATTGTGGAAAAGACAAGAAATAAATTTAGATGTAAGCTGGACAAGGAAATAGAAACAAAATTACTGATATGCAATTTCTTTAATAATTTTGTTTATGTGAATATTTTTCTTCTGTAAATGTGTAGCAGTGCTAACGTTTAAATTTCACAGATAGGACATACATGACATATTCATAATTCCTGCAAAGTTCTACAGCATTTGAGGTTGGCTGCAAAAGGGACATAGTACCTTTAACATTTACCTATAGTTACAAATAAATGTTCATATAAAATATATTTGCAGATGATGTACATAGAAAAGTCAAAGTTTATGTTCGTTCTTCAATTTTTATTTTGAACACGTTTGTTTTGAAAAGAGTTGAAGAAACGAGTGTTAATGTCGTTATCTTTCACGTAATGACGCAATAATAAGTGAAATTCTACCTTCCAAGTTTTGGGGATTCTCAAAACTATAGAGGAGCTTTGATTTGATTTGATTTGATTTGATTTTATTTATTCATCATCAATAACATCAGTGATTAAACATTTGAATACATCGTGAATGGTACATGTTCATAAATGAATATTATAGATCATATTAAAGAAAAACCTAACAAAGTATTGATATGCTAGACATATGTCTTTTCTCATAGAATATAGAAGGTGATGAAAAGGAGCCAAATAATAGCACATGTGCTAGTCGAGTCTGGCCCCTGTTCTTAGCACACACTTGGCAAAAATAAATATATCATTATCAAAAAATAAAACTTGACAGTAGAAGTATACATGTTGAGTAATACCGTAGCACAATTTCTACACTCCAAATATAATTATGAAGAGGATATACCAGGTTAAAAAGTCATAGATACATGTATCTACAGATTATTTATACAAAAAATTGCATTTTTTTGACAAAAAAAAACAACAAAAATGTAATATGGAGATTATTTACAATATATACATGTGTACTTGCATAATTCAATCACTTATTCATCAAGTAATCGTTGAGATGTTTACGAAAAGTGTTTCTAGACCCTTTGTTTTTGATTTCATCGGGAAGTTCATTCCATAATCGGGTTCCTACACAAGTTACTGAAAATTTGCCTTGTGTCGTTTTATACAGTGGTATACGTAGATGGCCCTTTTCTCTTTTTCTTGTATTGTATCTATGCTCAATTTTATCACAATAATCCGTCAAACAGTGAGGTAAATTATTATGTACTAGGTCATACATAAATGTACATAGAGACAACTCATAGAACTTGTTAATATCTAAGATTTTCAATTCGTAAAACAATGGTGCTGAACGACTCATAAAATGGCTAAATGTGATTGTCCGTATGGCCATCTTCTGTGTATACAGTATGCAATTTAAGTGAGACTTGTAAGTGCTCCCCCACACTTCAATTCCGTATGATATATGAGGTTGAATAAAGGTTTTATACAACAACACTAGGATATTTCTAGGCACAAAATGCCGTAAGCGGAAGAGGATTCCTACTTTTTGTCTGATGCATTTATTAACCATTTGTATGTGGGGTTTCCAAGTCAAGTGTTTATCAATCTTTATCCCAACAAAGAGCGAAGAATCAACTTCTATTATTTCAGCTTCTGATATAGCCAGTTGCCCTTGAACATTAATCTGCCGTCTCTGGTTTCTTATTAGCATATAACTCGTCTTTTGTAAATTAATTGTCAGTTTATTAGCATTACACCAGTCTGAAACAATTTGAAGATTTGTGTTCACTTCAGTCATATCAATTTCTTTTTGCCCTTCAGGAAATGTATGGAATAAGTTTGAGTCATCCGCAAAGAGTCGAAAATTAAAGTAACGTGTAGCAAATGGCATATCATTAATATAAAGTAGGAAAAGCGTTGGGCCTAGGACAGAGCCTTGCGGTACACCACATGTTAAAGGCAGCATGGGAGATGTTACATTTCCGTACTGTACAAATTGAAATCTTCTATAAAAATAGTCCTTAAACCACTGTAATGCTATTCCTCGTATTCCATAGTGTGAAAGTTTGCTGTATAAAATATCATGATTAATTGTATCAAATGCTTTCTTAAAGTCTACAAATATCCCAAGTGTGATTCTTCCCTCATCCATTGAATTCCTCAAAGTGTTAACTAAATTTATCATTGACAATTTTGTACTGTATTTTTTACGGAAGCCATACTGGTGCTCATATAATACATGATTTTTTTCAAGAAAGTCAAGAAGCCTATTATTTACAATTTTTTCAAAAACCTTCCCAAGAACAGGTAATACTGAAATAGGTCTATAATTTCCTGCTTCATCTTTAGGTCCTTTCTTATAAACAGGTGTCACTTTTGCTATTTTAAAGGCATCTGGGAATTTACCAGAGGTGAAAGACAGATTGAAAATAAATGTAAGGGGAGAAGTTACATAGTGCACAGCATCTTTTATCAGCTTGATTGGCATATTATCATACCCACTAGCTTTCTTTACATTCAAGGCTATTAAATGGTTGTTAACCTCAGTCTCAGTAACTGGTTTCCAGAAGAAAGATTTGTCTACACCATCGTCTAAAACTTTCTCTGTATTACGATTTGTGTTTGGTATGGCATTCGCCAAATTTGGACCAACATTAACAAAGAAGTCATTAAATGCATTTGCAATATCTTGTTCATTACACAGGGTTTCATTAGTACCAGTATCATTCACACACAATTTATCCACCACTGTTGGCTTAAACGAATTGTTTCCACCACTTAAAATCTCGTTTACAGTCTTCCATGTTTTGCTAGTATCACCCTTATTTTCAAGGAATATCCTACTATAGTAATTTCTCTTTGAGTTTCTGATTATTGTAGTTAACATATTCCTGTACTTCTTGTATGTTGTTAAATAGACAGGATTGTGGTTGGTGGCAAGAACCTGTGAATACATTGTATGTTTCTTTTTTATGGAATTCATTATAGCTTTTGTAATCCAAGGTTTCTTAGGTTCGTTCTTTCTCCTTTTACCGTGTTGAGCTACAACTGGTGCATGCTCATCACACACTTTTGTCATGATTTCACAAAAACGGGAGTATGCGAGATCAGCATCATCCGCTGCATAAACTGATTCCCATGTTATATTGGCAAGCTCAGCATGGAATTTTGTAACATCATAGTTCTTGTAAGAACGAGACATTAATTTTCCTCGGCAAGACTTTTTCTTAAATTGTATATTAGACTTAAAAATGGTAAAGATCGGAAAGTGGTCTGTAACGTCAGATTCAATTATTCCTGCATGAATACTGGGAACATTCATATTGGTATATATATGATCAATCAAAGAGAAGCCATGTTGCGTTACTCTAGTAGGAAAATTAATCAATTGATGCATGCCGATACATTGCATGGAGGTGAGAAAGTTATCAGCTGCCATTTCATCGCCTAGAAGATTGATATTGAAGTCTCCAGTTAGCACACATTGACTTTTGTCTAATTTCAGATCATGTACAATACTTAACAGACTATCCTGAAACTCATGAATATCTGTATTTGGCTTGCGATAGATGACACCAATAATGATCTTCTTTTCATTAATTACTACTTCCAACCAAAGTGATTCAGCATGTGCTACTTCAAAATTTCCCAAAAGCCTGTATTTAAGGGAAGAGTGAATGTATGCACCAACACCTCCACCTCTTAAAGTATGATTGCGGCATTTCACCTCTAAAGTATAGCCTTGTATGCCCAAGATGGATGTGTCTGGTACGCTCCACACTTCAGATAAACATATTATATCAAATTTTGATTTGATACTACATTCGTATAACAGTTTTAGGTTTTCTATATTTCTATTCAAAGATCTGATATTGACATGTGTAAGAGAAAATGCATTTTCAGTTTTGGTTTGCAGAACATCATCAAAATTAACAGGAGTTAATTTGTGTGAACTAAGACACAGATTGAGTTCATTGTCCTCCATTTTAAAGTCATTTTTCTATTAATGACTTAAAATTACTCAGATAAAAAGAAAATCAAGCAATGACAAATAGCTTGAAGCGAGCGTAATCCATATCATCAAGTCCAAGATCAAAAAGGTCATCAGGGTTGCGAATTGTTTTAAAATCGCCATCATCCATCTTGCAGACAATTGTTCCTGACCTTGTCGCCACACTCTTGACTCCATCTATCTTTTTGGCCGCCATCATCACCGAGTACCTCAGCCTGGTTAGGTCCTCATTCACATACACCCTCGTGAAGTTGTCCTTGTCTTTCAGACCAAAACGTGCCTGGTACAGGGCATCCCTCCTCCTCCTTGTTGTGAAGCGCACAACAGACTGACGAATCTTCTCCTTATCTGGTGACCACTTCCCTATAATTTAAAGGTACTATGTCCCTTTTGCAGCCAACCTCAAATGCTGTAGAACTTTGCAGGAATTATGAATATGTCATGTATGTCCTATCTGTGAAATTTAAATGTTAGCAGTGTCCTCATATTCAAATTATGCAAGGAAAACCGTTTACTTGCTAGACTTCACTGTGAGACACTATTGAGTGACTGACTGGCTTTTTTTCTTCTTTGGTAATAACATACATGAAAAGAGTTGTAAAGGGTACATGAGCATTTGTCTACATCAATAACCCACTTCTTGTGATGGCCAAGATTAAACTGATTGAATCTTTGCGCAGCATAAAACGTGTGACCATTCGGTACAATTGTCTGAAAATCAAGACTATTACTTTTGGGCTCTATAGCCCTAAAGTCGATTTGACAACTAATAGTCGTTATTTTCCCACTTGAAGACATTTTCAAGCCCCACCTTTTTTAGGGAAGTTCTAAATTAGTATTATCTTTCAAATGCAGTTGGAATTTAACTTTTTCATTTTTTGGGGCCTGCAAATGGGACATAGTACCTTTAAAGTTCACTTGCAAATTTTGAAGATTATTTGTAATTTTGTATCAAATGTTATAAATTATGTGAAATTTTCTTTATGAGAGAAGAGAATAAAAATCTATGAAAACAAAAAAGATGCGCGATGTCGCATTGCAGTGGCTGATCCAGAGGGCCCCCTCCCCTGTGAAAAAACAGCTAAAAACACGTTATTTTTACCTTTATTTGGAGACGAGCCCCCTCCCCTGGTGCTCAAGGGGGGGGGGGGAACGCAATTTTCAAGGGCAAAACAAAAAATTACAAAATAGTGCTCACTACCCCCCCCCCCCCCCCCGATGAGCAACCCCCTGCCTTTGGACCCTTGGTGGGTCCAGGCGAGGTGGAGCCCACGTAAACTCAGGGGTTTTAGGTATTTTATTACGGTCAGATGAGTATATGACACTGGCACTCAATCTTTCTTTCTTTTCAAAAAACGTTCTGCAGGCCCTGACACAAGGGCTTCTAAATAAGCATATTTTTGCCTGACTGTGTATTTGGGAATTTGTAATTCCCAACGTATAAACAAAATACAAAAAGAATTGAGGAAAATCCCAGAAAATCATGTCATTTCAGCAAAATTTGTAAATCACTGGTATCGAATTAGAAATAAATCACGTTTAAATTGTATTTGGGGGCAACTCCCCTCCCCCATCAGTGCGCCAGTATTCAGGGGCTCATGTCTTCTCACTGCCCTACTAAAAAAAAAAAAAAATAAGCTTTCCCATCCTCTCACAATATTTCCACAATATGCGTGTATCGCTATTATAAAATCTACATTTATAAATTTAGGGGCATGCGGAATGTATAGTGATAGTTTAATTTGATTTGATTTGATTTGATTTTTTTTTTTTTTTGGGGGGGGGGGGCGGAAATGTGTTTGGCCCCTCCCCACTTTTTGGTTTGGGAGGCGATCGCCCCATGCCCCCCCTACTTCCGGCCCTATGATGACATTTATTGACCATTAACGGATTATGGTTGGTGCAAGCATGACCTTAGAGTTGGTCAATTGTCAACACTACAATCATATTGAATGTCGTCGTCATCAATATCGACAACAACATTCTATTCTGATCATCGTCAGGCGTCAGCATCAGTTTGGTGGTTATTTTTTTTTTACTTCTCTGTTTTCTTTATAGGCCTGTATTTTACCCCTCAGAACTAAGTTCTTCTTCTTCATTAGTTTAGGCTAAATTTGTGTTTTGTTTCAAATCGGCCCAAAAAACCAAAGAAAACCCCCACCATTAAATTATACCCCTACTAAGTCTCAATCCCCAGTGGCGGGGGGGGGGGGGGGAGGGACTCCCCTGGATCCGCCACTGATGCTAGAACTGTTCTCTCGGCTCTCACGGGGTAGATAAAGCTGTTTCATGTTCATGATAATCCCCAAATCCTCTAAGGCAGGGATAAATGAGCGTCAGTAATATGCACTATTTTTTTTTTTTAACTCCCGAAAATGTGAAAATGAAAAGGCCCCCCCCCCCCTGGATCCGCCACTGCCACTCACCACCCCCCCCCCCCCACTCCGGGGTGCGTTATTTTCTTCTGCGGCACAGATTGGGGCTTTAAAAAAAGAGGTATTGATTTAACCCTAACCCTAACCCTAACCCTAACCCTAAACTTTCCCATAGGCACAACACGCACCTAACCCCAATCTGTGCCGCCGAAAAAAATAACGCCTCCGGGGTCGGAGGGACCGCATTTGTATTCCCAAAATCTCCGGTAAAGGGGTACTTTTGGGCGCGACAATGTCCGGTCCGTATTGAGTAAGGGGTGCTTTCAAATGAAGCTAATTAGTAACAAGCAAACGCGTACCCTAAAAATAACGAGTGGGGAGGGGGGGGGCAGAGTTTAGGTACATATACTGCTGTGTATCCAAAACACAGCAGCTCGTCTTGTTTCTTGTGTTCCTCGTACTTCTCACATTACCCCTGTTCTTCAAAAACTTCACTGGGCTTCCTATCACTTCTCGCATTACCTACAAAATCCTCCTCCTTACTTTCAAGACTTATCATGGTTTTGCTCCTTCATATCTTTCTGATCGAACTCCTTCCGAGCTCGATACACTCCTATCCGGACTTTGCGATCTGCTTCTCAATCTCTCCTCTCTCCGTCTCACACTATTTCATACAAACAATACGGTCAACGTTCTTTCGTTAATGCAGCTGCATTTCTTTGGAACAATCTTCCACTTCAAATTCGCAATGCTAGCTCTGTAAATACATTTAAAACAAATAGCTCTTTTGACCTTTGGCCTTTTTAAATATTTTGTAGATTACCGTAGGATACTATTAATTCATGAACTATTTGTATTTTGGTTGTAAGTGATTTGTAATTATGTACATGTATTATATTGTCATTTGCAAAGTTTTAATGGTAATTTAAATTGATATAATTTGTAATGCAAATTTCTGTTTCCTTTACTTATCAGCTATTTTCTTCTAAACCGCTTAGAGGCAATTTGCAATTTGCGGTATACAAATAACTTATTATTATTATATATATATATATATATATATATATATATAGGCTCATAAATGGGGATAAATGGCCATCCACTTTTTTAGGACATTTTGCGAGTCATGATAGAAAAGGCATTCTTTAATAGCGCAGTAATAACGAACTGTTCACAATAACAGAGCGAAATATTGAGCCAGTTTTGCTTAGGGCGTAATGAAAATCTTGTAGAAACAAATCAATGTAGACTCTAGGTCAAAGTCATGATCATCAGATCTAGGCCTATATGAATATTTAGTTTGATCCTCCAATTATGATTAATTCGAAACGTTATTTTATCATATTCCTCAATCGACAAATGCAGTGATAAAATCAATTTCGAAACCTCTTATTTTGCTTAGCTAGCTAGCTAGCTCAGCTCAGTACACATGTAGCAGATAGTGACGTCACATTTCCACTTCCGGTGTTACTGTAATAGAAAAACGCCGGTTCTTGTTGTGGCTGGGCTGAATATACCATTAAAAATGTTTTCGGCTGTCTCTAAAGTAGGAGTTGTTGCTCCGTTTGTGTCCGCCACATCCCAAAATGTGGGATCTCAGCTTAGACAAGCAGTTGTCGCAGCTCCATCAATTGTTCACAAATTCACATTACCTGAGAGGGAAGATAGACTTACAAATGTGAAGCTCGGTGCTTTGCTACCAAAGAGTCACGGTACGCGGGTGACGAGTGGAGTCGAAGGTAATGTGCATTTTAGGGTAGTGGAGTGTCAAGTGTAGACTGGATACATTTTGTATGAATTAAACTAAAACTGTGAAAGTGACCAACAAATCATTATAAGTCGTACATTTTTATAGTTTAATTGCTTAATATCTATCCAATTGAAACAAGATAGACCAACTGATAATTATCAATTCAAAAGGAGTAAAACTAGATAGATCTAGGCCTATAGATCTAGATCTAGATCTAGACTAGACCGAATTTTCCGTCTCTTTCGTTCGTTAGCCTCTTATTGGGGTAGGGTCGGCTCTCTCTTTAGAGACGGAAGCCGTTTATACACATGTCCTTGCTAACGCCACGGCCAGTTCTGGTCGTAGCGTTTTGCCCCCAAAATCCCCCAAAATGTCATTTTACCTCGAGCATGTTATATTGTAAATTAGGCCTAGGCTATAATAAATCAGTTCCACTTACCAACTTGACTGAAATAATCAGTTTAATAGTCCCTTTTTAGGAAATTATGGGTCAAAATCGAAATCCATTTTGAAAATCTTTTTCAACATGGATTCCGATTTTGACCCATAATTTCCTAAAAAGGGACTATTAAACTGATTATTTCAGTCAAGTTGGTAAGTGGAACTGATTTATTATAGCCTAGGCCTAATTTACAATATAACATGCTCGAGGTAAAATGACATTTTGGGGGATTTTGGGGGCAAAACGCTACGACCAGAACTGGCCGTGGCGTTAGCAAGGACATGTGTATAAACGGCTTCCGTCTCTAAAGAGAGAGCCGACCCTACCCCAATAAGAGGCTAACGAACGAAAGAGACGGAAAATTCGGTCTAGATCTAGACTAGAGTCTAGACCTCTAGATCTAGACTAGACCGAATTTTCCGTCTCTTTCGTTCGTTAGCCTCTTATTGGGGTAGGGTCGGCCGGCTCTCTCTTTAGAGACGGAAACCGTCTATACACATTCCCTTGATAACGCCACGGCCATTTCAGGTCGTAGCGTTTTGCCCCCAAAATCCCCCTTCTTATTGGCTATCACTGGCAAATGAAAAAAATCCTTAATAATAGAAGGTTTGACTGTATGATTTTGGTATCGGATCAAACGGAAAATCTCAAGCTTTCTCCTGGCACCAATATCTTATAACATTGAGCAAATAGCAACCAGCGATAGCCAATCAGAAGGGCCCTTGTAGGCGCCAATTTAAGAAAATGAGGCAGAGCCCGGATCAACGTAATGCGCATGCGCTAGATGTAAGCTAAACTTCTACGTGCGCGACAAACCGGCTTCGAATTTTGTTAGTGGCTTTTTTTTTTCCTCATAAAGAGTCATAGTAAAGGCTAAAGCACTTTGAAATCAGTCAAGAATTTAACTAAATATGGAAATTTATTACTGGAGTGATAATGATTTTCTCATCTTCCATGTGTTCCTGATGATAATGAGGTAACATGCGATTGACCTTCTGATGTTGTTCGTGCCGCAATTCGTCCTTGTTTTCACGAAGTGACGGTAGTGAGGAAAATCGTAACGCAAAGTGAATGCAATTTTTTTTCACTACCGTCACTTCGTGAAAACAGCGACGAATTGTGTACTGAAAAAAAAAAAATTCTTGAATTTTGCCAATTTTGCCCTACTTTACCATAAAAGCTATAAGTCTAGTTTACTCAGACGCATTCATGGAGTTTGCTGAATTTAGTAAACTCCTTGCGCATGTGCCTTGGTATACCAATCTCTATTATCAACATTGCCAGCTCTTGTGAGAGGTCATTGTTTTTGTAATGTAAATCACACGTTAGCTCATTATCATACGAAGAAGAGAAATTAAAAAAAACCTGTAAACCCAGTCTCTAATGCCATACAACATCAATGAATTGAAATTTTGAATGGACAGTTACATTGGTGCCTAGGGCCTAGGCTAGAACCTACAATGTAGATGCAGAAATATCATTCATATAGTTGACATTTTATCAATTAACAGTAATAGATCATTTGAGTGATATTTGACAGGGGAATTCAGAGACCGTTTCCCATGTTATTAGAGATTTAGCCTACAAAAGGACAAAAGAAACAACGCCAACAACAAGGCAGTAGATGGTCAAAAGGAGTAATTCATGAGGAATCTGCTTATCACATTTTCAATTTGAGCTGTGGTAATCTTTTTGCAGCAAATGTAAATAAAGAAAAATTGGTATCCCGAATGGGAGACCGTCTCCCAAATAGCCAACTAAAAATCTTGATAAAAGCCTCTTGACAAATGACAATAGAGACAAACTCCCAAAACGTAATGACAATGTGAATAGAGTTGGGGAGAGGGGGAGGCTGCCTCAAGTGTATATGTACGTACATTGGGAAATGATATACATCTAATACATGTACATGTATGTCTTTTATTTTAGCTGCCGGACATGTGAGGTTTGCACACACAGACATCCAAGTACCGGACTTCTCAGAGTACAGACGTGACACAACGAGCGATCCCAAGAAGCCGGCAAGTACCTCATCGACTGACCGTCAGATGTTCTCATACCTCCTGGTTGGTGGAGGAACCATTGCAGCGACATACGGTGCAAAGAATATTGTCACTGATTTCATCCAGACCATGAATGCCTCTGCAGATGTCTTAGCTATGGCCAAGATTGAAATCAAGCTGGAAGAAATTCCAGAGGTAAGGATTGGCCAATAATAAAAAATTTACTGTCGAAAATTTAAAACATAAAAAAATTGTAAAGTAGGATGGAAATGAAATATGGAAGAAAAATTCTTCAAGAAATGCTGCGTGATTGTAGATCTCTTTATTTTGTATTCATCTTGAATAATAAAATAAATATATATGACGGTTCTGCATCATTACTGATAAGGACATTTATGCAAAAACACTTCCAAATTTTGTGTATTTTGGTTTTCCTAACTAGTGTTTGTGTTGGTAAATGTTTGTGGCAATCATTAGGGTGCATGTACATGTGATCTTGTATTTTGTGAAAAGGCTCATGGAAATAAATAGAATTTTATCAAATTTATATCTGAAAAATATCAAGAAGTCAATGAAAGTGAGATTTAGTAAGGTGGATCACATCAGGTCAAATGAATTAATGAAATGTTTTTTTGAGAAAAAAAGGGTTGTGATAACATTCTAGCCAGTGTAGTGTGAACTGTAAAAAAGAAAGTGATGAAAAATGTTATACTAGAGAGATAGGAATGTAATAAAATGCTGCCATAAAGATTAGATGTCTTCAAAGTAGAATTAGTTTTCATTACACTATTTGAAACCAATACTACATTTCATTGGGAGTAGGTAGTTAGTTGATGAATATATCTCCTTGCTGCCTGTCCCATGTGTTGGCAGCTTTATCATGCATTTTGAGTACCGTAAACCCAATGTTTCTGTCTAATCGACAGACCTATTAAAGCTTTAATCGTGGAGCTTTAGTAGGATATTATACTTTTGGTGGGAGTTTCTTTTCTTCTTCTCATTATTTTTGGTCACATGTTTTCAGCAAATATACTTTCCATTAATAAATACTAATCATCAGTTGTGTTTCCAATACAAAGCTTATTTTAACCATCTGTCTCAGCAGGCTAATAGCCACCCTGAACTCCAGGCACAATACAGCTGTCATTGTGTGTAAAGGAAACACAGTATACAATGTACAGTCAAACCTGCTTTAGTGACCACCTGTCTACAAAGACCACCTGTTTACAAGCACATTTTTGTTTCCCTTGAAAATGGTTTCTCATTGAAACATGTACTAAAGGAACCTGTCTACAAAGACCACTTTTTGTGTTTACCTTGGGCGGTCGCTGTAGACAGGTTTGACTGTATTTGTAATTGTTGTCATGTCTGATTGTGTTTATTTTCATTATGCTAATGCTACAGGGTAAGAACATGACCTTCAAGTGGAGAGGAAAGCCCCTCTTTGTGAGGCACAGGACGCAGGAGGAGATTGACGAGTGCGTGTCCGTCGATGTCGCGTCACTGCGCGACCCCCAGCATGACAAGGAACGTGTGCAGAAAGACGAGTGGCTGGTCCTCATCGGCGTGTGCACCCATCTGGGCTGTGTACCCATCGCCAACGCCGGAGAATACGGGGGCTACTACTGCCCTTGCCACGGGTCCCATTATGACGCCTCAGGCAGGATCAGGAAAGGACCCGCACCCCTCAATCTAGAGATCCCCGAGTATACCTTCCCCACAGACGAGATGCTTATCGTAGGTTAATGTTGGAATGCAAAGCTGATTCATAGCATTTATATCGTCATCAGGAATTTCAGCATGCTTGTCCACAGAGCCCTTACACTTCCGTTACCTGACTTCAAAGCTATGCCAAACCAATTGAAAACTTTACTCCAATTAATATCTACCGGTACCATACAATAGTGATCATACTTAAATTATCCTTTTCCCTTGTACTTTTGTAGCCAGATAGAATTTAATATTTCTTGAGGCTCATTCATACCAAATAATGCAAATAAAGTCACGAAGAAGTAAATGCACACTAATTAAGAACTGCCGATGTCCCATGTGACTTGCACTTGTACTGGTGTAATACAATTAAAGTTTGTCACGTGGATATGCCTTGTCAGAATAAGTGGATGTAGAATTTCACATAGGTGATGAATATGCAAGGTCATATTTGAGTTATTTATTATTCTATAATACTGGACAAAATAAAGAATGAATTGGCTTTGTTTTGGTTTTCTGGTGCAAGCATTGTGGGAAGGTATTATCCGTACAAACAGCAGATTGGGTGTGCTGTGTATGTGAACTATCGCCGAGTTTATTTACATAATGCTCCACTTATGTGTGATACATGCCTAGTCTTTTTGCTGTTGTATTGTAAAGATATTAGGATTTTACTAGTGAGACAATATGTGTGTTTTACCCATGTACAAGAGTTGAATAAAATTGGAGAGACCTATATTAAAAACATGTTCAAAGTTGATCCGATTGTATTTGAAATCTTTTGGTTGTATGGATGTACAGAGGCCTATGGTTTGAGCAATTGACATTTCATCAATAGAGTGGTGAAGTGTGACGTCATCAAAAATCTATTTCTAGAATTTCTCAATTTTTTCTTCATTTTCCGAAAGAGCATCAAAAATAATGTCCAAATGTCGAAAACCAATTGAATATGTAAAGTATTGGCTGAGATATATGTCCCATAGGAACTCAGTGTTATTTGCTCTGGCTCGTAATGGTTAGGAGCCAGAGTGTATAACACTGAGTTCCCATAGGACATATATTTATTCAGATGGTCATATCTCAGTCAATACTTAACATATTCAATTGGTTTTCGAAATTTGGACATTATTTTTGATGCTCTTTCGGAAAATGAGGAAAAAATTGAGAAATTCTAAAAATAGATTTTTATGACGTCTCCTTCAGGCTCTTTGGAGATGTATCTTATGGTAACAAAGAGTTTTTATATAATTATTTTGATAAAACAATCCACTTCTATTTCTAGAAGAGTAGACAAAACTTGGCAGACTGAAAGAATGGTATGGGAAGATGGTGAAGTCATGTGAAATACAATAAAAGGGGTAGAGAGACAGACAGATGGGGAAACAGTGTTTAGTGGATAACAGACTGCATGTGTGACAGAAAAGTGGAGAAAGACTCGAGAGAGAGGCGTGTATGCAAGTGAGAGAGAAAGAGAAGATTGAATGAAAAGTGGGGGAGAAAGAGAGGGTTGCATGTGCATGAGAGCAAAAAATGTACATAAATGTACATTTATGAGAAAGTGTGAATATAAAGAGAAGGGAGAGACGGTGGTTGTTGGGAACCGTAGAAAGATGAAAAGACAAACAAAATGAACCCAAACTGTACACAAGCTATGAATGATGTTGGGTGTATTGTCATCCTAGTCTAGTGGCAGATTTCCAAATGGGTTTTTCCAGAATTTCCTAACCCTCAAATCTCCTACACCATCATGTATAATGAATGAAATATAGGATAAATGAAATGGTCTTTAATATTATTTATATCTAAACTATTAATACATTTAATTCACAATACATCATCTTTCTTGTCAATCCCGCACCACTCTTGCTTGCTGCTCATCCAAAGTGTATTACACATTCTATGAATACATCTCACACAACTTTTATCAATTCATATTTTCCATCTATATAATGATTTTTTTCAAATGACAGACACCGCACCTGTACAATGAGTTTAGTTCACTTGTTTAATAGCAGTCATAAAGTCTTTCCATTAATCAACTATCAGTTTGAACTGATTACTTCTTTGAAGTACATATACAATCATCTATTTCTTAGTCCATACGTCGGTTTACCAGTTATTAAAATGTCACAATCTTTCAACAACAAACATTTGCACTTCCAGCTGAGTTTTAATGGAAACACTGTTTATGCTTTGCAAGATACTGAATTGTGCAAAGTGTACACCAAATCCAGTATCATTATCCTGTGATTTAAGTTTCCTTAAATCTGCCCCAACATTACCCCACCTATAGCTAGGGGCTCACAGCTTACAATGAATTCCTCACAACCTGGTACCCATTTACAATATACTTGTATAACCTATTATATATACCGGTATCTTATCATTATATCTTTGGATGAATGAATAGATACCCTAATATGGGCAAACATGGCGCTCTTCTAACTTAAAAAACTTGTAGATGAGCAACACTGACAACATCCGAATCATGGAGTCCCATTAGTGAAACAGCCTTTTGCATATATCATGAACGCAGGTAAATTATCAGAAAGATAAAGAAGATATTGAGTTGTATAATCCATATCAAGTTTGCCTTTGAAGTGTAGATAATAGTTACAAGGGAGGTACAGTGAATGTGTGTTATCAGAGAGGAGCAATATTCCATCACCGGTATTCTAATCATCTAATAATGTTGTACTATTACCACTATGTTCTGCCCTAGCCCCTCCGGGCTGTCGGCTGCCTTCTCCCGCATTCATTCTCCCTACTCTCATACCACCTTCCCAATTCTTGATGTTGTCTTTCCATCCCGCAGTCCGTCTACCAACCTGGCACTTTCCAGTGCCCATGCTTTGCGATCTTTACAGAGATCCTTCCTTGTAATAACTATTCTGGTTTTGTTTTCCTCCTTAATTCCTACGACTTCTCATCTCAACATTGAAATGCAAGACTAAAGTTTACAAATCACCTACAAAATAATTTGTTTATAGTAAGAATGTATGAATTCAACTTAATTCAAATTCAACCCACGGAACCGAAGCCAGACTTGGGTTCCATGCAGCCCTTTTCTATGCAAAAGCATATAGGTACCTCAAGTAGTCTTCTCACAAGTCGCATTTATATTAATTGAGAGTGCATTTAGACTTGCAATATCTCTGTATAGAAGGAATACTTGAAACACGTAACTTAAATAGTACCTGTATAGCGAGATTGATCCCCTAACGTACAAAGCAAAACATTTTGTGTGATTGGTACACTTTAATAACTTAAACGCATAACATTCAGTACTTCTTCACCCAAAGTGCCTACAATCTTCAATCACAAAGTATTCCTTTTTGATTGAGCAATACTGATTTCTTCTTTCACTTTGTTGAAACATACATTTCACATTGCTGCAGATCACAAGTGACTAGCAAATAAATATTCTTGAAATGAACCTGTGACCTTTTAAGTGAGCTTCAATTAAATTTAGACTATCCTTGCTCCACAATATAAAACAACAGTTATTTTGTCTATAGTTTGAAAGTGTTTTACACAGTTCTACACATATCAAGTAGATATTTTCTTTCAAAACCAGAAGTGTGTTAGACTTTACATACAGTCAAACCTGTTTTTAGCAACCACCTGTATAGAAACATCACCTGTCTATAGAGACCACATATTGTGTTCCCCTTGAATCTGATCTCTCATTGAAACCTGAAGTAAAGGAAAATGTACATAAAGACCATGTTTCATGTTTCCCTTGAGCGGTCTTTATTTACAGGTTAATGCACTTCTGACTCAAAGCGGAAACATGTCCTGATGAAAGGCCCTGTTCAGATATGACGAGACAAAAACACATTTTTTTTCTTCTCCCCATGATGATGTAAAGTGTAATTAATGTCACATTTCTGTGTCTTAAAACACAAGCCGGACCTTTGTTGCACATCGCTACCATTCATTGACACCTTAAAAAAAAACGTCACAGTTTTTGTGCGATGGTTTACCCCGTAAACGCGCCTTTACAGATGATCAATCTGGTACCAAGCACAAAGCAAGTCACTTCTAAATTTGTAAATCCAGGTGGTAACTAGGTTGTAGTTCAGAAACAACATGCAAATAGCTCTGACACAGGGATGCCATTTAGAATCGATCAGAGGGCCTGAAAATCACCTAGAATGAGCTATTTTGAACACAAAAAAGCCTCAACTATGGCCTGAAAATAAATCATTAGGGCCCAAAAACTGGCATCTCTGTCTGACAGTGAGCCTCAACAGTTCATATTCCATCATCAACAGCTATCATCACATCTGATAAGTAGCTGAACCTCCGTTGACTGCATTGTAGATGTAAGTGTTGTTGAAAGGCACAAACTGACGGGTCACGACCTTGATGACCTCTTGAGCTGCCACGCCCCCAATGAATGCGGCCACCGAGTGGAGCTCAGCTGCACCATACCGACAACTGAAAGAATACAAATCATGACAACGGTATAGTAAATTCCACCTCTAAACATCCTCAAAACTCCCATACAAAGATATATTTGATTATATATATAGTGGTGAGTAAACACAAATGGAGAAAATGATTTGTAGCTGGTCATAGTATTGAAGGGGTAGTAAGTTTATCCATTTTCACTAAAATTATCTTTGTGATACACTGGTTATGTATTTATGATAGTGGTGCAATTTTTCCAGCCAGTGCTATATAATCAGCAACAGATGAATGAAACTATGAGCATCTTTAATAAGGTTGATCTACAGTAACCAGTTTGTAGTTTGAATGAAATAAAACGAGAGAGGTTTGATGTGAGAAAAGAGACATTGAGATCTTTCACAAATTCATTTTGAGCATCAAAAAAAAAAAAAAAGGGATAAATTTTGTATGAATTATATTATGATTTGGCATGAGATGCAACTTTTGGGACTATAAATGGATATCATACCTTCACTGCATCACAATTATATACATGTATTTGCAATAATACAATTCGTTACTGATATTCAAATGAGGAATGGAAAAATTATGTACTAACAAGTGGTAAGTAGTACATATGGTTGGAAATACTTGCATAAATTTAAATACATTATATACTTGTCATATTGGATTTCTTACATTTCCCTGAAGTAGTCTTCCTTGATGGTGGCACTGATGTTCCACTCCTGTAGTAAACTGTTTGCACAAGCCTGATTAATTAAAGAGAAAACACAAAATTAGATCCGGATTCCTTTCTCCATTTAAAATGATAAAACAACAACACATAGAAACCTACTGGAAATACCTGAGAGTAATTTATCTCTTTAGAATGAAAGAGAGTAACGTGAAACTAAATCGGTCTTCAAGGGCTGAAGTTCAACAAAGGAAAATGTCCATGTGTGCATAATCTTTTGTTAAAGTTTAAAGTGACAAGCCTAATTTAAAAAAAAATAATGTTATGACTATTATAACATCACACATTTCTTTCAAAATTATAAAATGGCTGCTTAGGAATAATATTGGTTAAATTCTAAATTGAATTGAATTTGTATATCCACATTTCCATTAAAAAAACAAATAACAATATACAAGATATACATAGTAATTATTTAATAATTAATGATACAAATAACAATAACAACATTCACATATTTCTTCATGAATCAAGTTTGTACAATCAATACTGAATTGAAGGTCTCAAAAAGGTTTATGATTCATTTGAATTAATTGCAACTCATCTCAAGTTTGATATTAATTGCAACTCCTACAATAAGAAACTTATAATTAGGATCTTCATTGGAGGACATTTGACCGTAATTGGAGGACAAATGACAGCTCTTTACAGGACAGACCCCTAGCAATGGTCTAAATCTTGACTTAATATTTACCTTTAATCTTCCAAAGTCCTCTTCTATCTGATTGTCACACCATCCTGGGTATTGGTTGTACTGGTTAAAGAACTTATCTACCGCCCTCAACGCCACATGCAGACACATCTCACTGTCCGGGTTCTCTAGATTCATGGCTGAATGAGAGAACACAGGAAAAAAGAAATCAGTTGATGAAAGAACATGCAACAATTTAAATGTATATATTTGGATTTTTGCTGAAATTTCTTTTCAAGCTAAATTTGTTGAGGTTAAAACAGCATAAGGCTTGATTTCGACAGAGATATCCAGTTAGGTTTCAGGTCGCAATTGGATTTTAGATGAAATTTAGGGTAAGGTTTAGGGCTCGGTATAGTGTTTGCCTACTGATCCCAAGTTGAAGTTAGGAATTCGGTTAGTGTAGGACATAGCAGTGTTACTAGAGCACCTTTTTGTACAATCTTTCAGTAACATGAACTGCCATTAAAATCATGAAGCAGAAAAAAATTAAAATCTTTATTATTTTTCCTATTCGTTTTACCATAGATTTTTTCTCTCATCGATGGATTGAAGATCAAAATGAGTGGAGACTTTACCTATATCAGCTACATTAGCCTTCTCTGGTATGTGCTCCTCTGCTAATGCTCTGCATCTCACCAACCGGAGGAAGGAGGCATTCTTGCAGAAAAGACGGATCTCAGAGTCCTGTATACTGTCTGGAGACTGAATAAGAACAAGCCATCACAATATTCTTAATTTATATATTGCCTAATACATCTACGATGCCTCTAAGCACTTTAAAAATATGTTATCAACCTGGTTATTGGATTCAGACTTGCTTAATATTACCAAAGTGTTATTCAGATATATGTCATATTCCAACTTTTAATACTCCAATATAGGCATTATCACAAACCAAAATGCTGCATGCATTTTTGGCATGTCATTTTTTTGTGCCACTGCATTCTGCTAACCTACATATGACTAAAACTGATCATTCAGCTTAATAACCAAGATATTGATGAATAAAAGAAATAAGGTTAATTAAATTTTTCACATATTTACCCTCCCCAGAGAAGCCAATATTTGTTGTACGCGTACGGATACTGCTGACACATCATGTCTTGATTGCTCTAAATATCTAAGGAAACAAAAGGGAAAGAAATAGAGTAAAGATCAAAGGTATAGTACATTACAAAAATAAAGAAAACAATTTGAAAGAATAGAGAGAAAGAAGGCAAAATTACATTCACTACACTTACATAAGATAAAAAAAAAAAGAGCAATATATAACACAGAAATTAAAAGTAATGTAAAAATAACAATGGGTCGACAATTCGACATAGAATAAAAAGAAGAAACTAAGACAAGATATATAATGGTTGTGGAAACAAGATTACATTGCCTGTTATATTTCCTTTCTGATTGCAGGAAATGTGAATAAGATAGTAAACTGTCATAATTTCCAATCTGCTAGCTTTCAGTACAGTGAAACCAGTATTCTGTTTAGGGAGACAAGAAATGTAGTCTTTATACCAAGGTAGTCTTTCTGTACAGGTTCCTTTAGTATAGGTTTCAACAAGAAACACTGTTCATGGGTAACAGATATTATGGTATTAATAGGAAGGTGGTCTTTCTATATAGGTAATTGCTACAGGAGGTTTTATTGTATTCATTGAGATTCATGGACTGAGCAGGAAAAGAAAGATCCTGCATACTGGGGGTATCTCCATTCTATCCTTTCAGTACCACAAAATTTTCATTTTGAAATACCCAAGACAAATAAAAAAATTCCTAAAAAAGAAGCAAAAGCCTGAATTTTGCTCACACATTCTGGAGCTGTATATATCTCTTGGAGTCAGCCGTCATGTCTGGGATCGACCCTCGTAGAGGGAGGGCTCCGTTTCCTTCATTCTCAGTAAACTGCTTGACCGCCTGGGCCAGGATCCAGTAATTGGAACTCTACAAAAACAAACAAGTCCAGTCAGATCAAATATGACAAAAATTTACAATTTTAAAATTTAGAATTTACAATTCTTCTCCAAGGGGGCTACTACTTGGTCAAACTATGGTGTGCAGACTTTTGTGTATTATAACCTAAAAACAGAAATCTTCATAACAACTGATCCTTCTTCCTTCAATCATATTGACTTTTTCCCAAAAAAGTCCCCTCAGCCCCCTAGAGATGCACATTGTGCCTATCTAACAATTTGTTTTCACCTGGGCTATATTTTCTCTTTGTATGTCCTATAGACAGTACCATACATAACAGAATAAATTTTTGTTTTACCGCACATACTGATCAAACAATATTTGGGCTGGGCATACCAGTATCTTTTTTTTGGGGGGGGGGGGGAGAAATAATTTGCCGATCAGAGAGCAATTTTTTTCTTCACACCTAGTAAAAAAAGTTATATTTACAAATTTGTTGACAGAGGTAAAAACAAACATCAGCCCCTATTATATTACTCCTACATGAGGGTCAAAGTCATCATTAGTTCAGCTGACCTCTGAGTTTGGGCCTGTAGACGCTGGCCCATTCTGGGAAACATACAACTAAGTACCATAACAATGTATAACACAGGGACCTTTTTTGTGGGTTAACACATAAAAAAAAGGACCAATCACTTTAATAGACCAACAAACTTTTGAAGCACCAAAATTGTCAGACCAGACTCTAATGGGTCCAACCTACCTCTGAGGTTAGACCTGTACAGGCTGGATCATGTGGGGTCTACTGGATCTACCTTTGGAGCATGGTCTCAGTTAGGGAAACATTCTACACTTAAGTAACAATTTAACAAAAGGACCTGATTTGTGGACCTACCTCTGAAGTTAGACCTGTGCAGGCTGGATCATTTAGGATATCCTGGACCTGGCTTGGGATCCTGGTCTTGGTCAGGGAAACATTGACAGCCTTGATGGCTTCATCAAAGTTCTCCTCCATCTCAGGAACACCATGTTCATTCTTTAGAATACCTTGCCTGATGATATCCTTGAAGGCTGTTTTCTCTTTGTAGTTCTTGGGCATCTCACCATCATGCTGTATCACGAAACAAGGACAAACTACTTTATGTTCCTATTCTAGTAAATAATTTTCAAAGTACTCCCTCCTTTCTCAATTTGACATTAATTTCACAAATGTTCTATTTGCATAATGTAACTTCACTCTTGTGACCTGCTATCTTTCCAAACTCAGCTTAAGGCATACTTATTCCTGTATTCCACATATTACAACTAGCCACTACCCCTGTATTTCCCAAGTGATCAGGCAACTAGAAATTGGCACTCAACAAATTCCTGGATAACATTTAATCTTGATTGACTAGATGAATGTCATCAATTAATCCTGCTTTTAACAAGAGTTAGTTTATCATTCCCTTTGGAACTCATACATTCGCAATGAAAACTTATCTCCCACTTCTGTTCTGTAATATGAGTATATTTTTTAGGCTTACTCTAGCTCTTTTTACATACCGTATTTGTCGGCGATAAGGCCGCAGCGCCGTATAGGCCGCATCCCCGATTTTGACATTTAAAAAAAAAAAAAAAAAAAAAAAAAAAAAAAAAAAAAAAAAATCGTTTTTTTTTTTGTTTGTTTTGTTTTGCTGCCGAAAACCCACGCGTGGAAGGACCTTCATTTAACATCGAGGTGCAGTTAAAGGCGCTGATTTGTGCTTGTGAACTTGTCACAAATAATAGTAACAATGTCGTTTTTAGAAGAATGTGTAAGATCATTAATGTGAATTAAAAACAATAAAGTACCTATGGTACGAGTGGTGGTACACCATTTGTTATAGAAAAAAATTTGAGGAACTATTATTATAAACTACATATTGAGATCTATTAGAAAGATTACTTTCAAACCAAGATGACAGTCAAATTTTAGTGTTGTTGTAGTTTCCGAGTGGTGAGTCAACACACTGATTACTGAGCTGGGAGACATTGCCAGGCATAGCCAGGCATAAATCGAAACTAAAAAAAAACAAAAACTTTTTTTACTCTTTCGCCGCATAGGCCGCACCCCGACTTTTTGATATTTTCTCTTCCAAAAATACTGCGGCCTATACGCCGGCAAATACGGTAATCTTTTACCTCTTTCCTCCACTCCTCCAAGTACTTGTGTAGCAGGATGAGGTAAGGAGTATGCATGTGGTCCTGAAACAAGAAAATCCAAAAGGGTTATACGCTAATATAACAGATCTAGCAATACATACACATACAACAAGCTACGAGATAAAGCAAAAATATACTTATTTTGCATGATAAATAATAATCAAAATAGCCACATTTATTTTGCATACGTATCCATCTCAGGGGATGCTCAAGGTGCTTACAAAGTAGTAGTATACCCCTGGCTTTAGCCTAGATGCCCTCAGGTACTAAAAGTATTCAAGGAATACATTTCTGCTTGGTACCCATTTTAGTACACCTGTGTGGAGAGTGGCAAACGTAGATTAATATCTTACCAGAGGACTCAAGTGTCGTGGCAGGACTCCAGCTGTGAACCATGTGATCCACAAGCTGGTGACGTATCCACTAGACCACAACATCTTTACATAAGTATCAAACATGAATATCTAACATGAATAGTGCCACATAATCATTATTCATCATTACCCCCTTTTAAAGGTAAAGATCAGTTTTGGAAACGCCCCCCCCCCCCCTCTCAAAAAAAATGAAATGGAAGCTCTTATTACCACTCATGTGAAAGAATATGTTTTGACTAATACGTGATGATACAAATTGTACCGGAAACCGCCTACTAATTGATATACAGTGTATATTTGGTAAATTATTATATCTATTCGGACCTGATATATATCGTGCATGTGTCGCGCACATGTCGCATAGTCCCATATACATCTTTCTGTGTACAGTGCTTGTAACTTTACCAAGACTGGGCCAAATTTTTTATCATTGTGATGATTCCAGACCCTTTCAGTACACACCAATACTTATATGCTAGATGATCAACCTTTTCTGATCGATTCCACAACGTTTCTTTCACAATGCAATAGCGTGACCAGAACTGGTCTTTACCTTTAATACCATTTAATTGATAATGCACTTATGCACCTTTCTTCCAGCAATCGTACCCCCTCAATGGGGTCGTAACTTACCTGTTTTGTCATAGCACTGAGATCAAATAACTTGGCAAACTCTACGAAACTAGGGAATGGACGGTCAAGCCTCAGGTCATCGTGGGCGTTGTCTGGGTGGGATTCAATAACTGAAAGTGACAAAAGTACAAAAAGAGTGACCAGTGAGTAAACACAGGGTGAAGTGAGTTGGTCTTGTTGTCAACTCGTGTCTGCCTATTGAAAACAGGGTTCTGCCTCGTTTATTTTAAAATTAAAAAGCAGAATGTGCTGTCAATCTCTTGAAAGTACAGCAAAATTCTTTCCTACACTGTAAAACCCTGGTTCGAGCCTGAGCCATGTCTTTCTGATTGTGATGTTATAGTTTGGCACCCAGATCTAATAATCAATTCTAATTGGCACAGGGCTGTAAAGATCAAACTGCAAACACAGATCTAGTATTGAGGCTTCTTATATCGCATCTGCAAGATACGTGTTGACAAACTGAAATCAGGCAATTCATCTACTCTTTGTATCACATTTCTATAAACATGGCACATCACACATAAGAAACACAAAATAACTGACAATTTGCTTGATGTTAATTGCAACAATCGTTAATTATTTGTTTCTCATTAAACTTTACACAAATCAATAATTGATAATCATGATTTTTTTTTTACCTGTATGCTCCTTGATAGCCAGTCTCATGTATCCTAGGAAACCATAGCAACGGCACACCAACAGAGGAATACTATTCCTCCACAAAACAGCAGCTAGGTCCAGTAGTGTTCTGAAAACAACGAGTAGTGACAATTTAGGACATTCTCTTTTAAAGGTATGGGATTGCACAACAACAGCGTACATAACATTATTGTAATTCAATTGCCAGGTTTTAATTTTGCTCCTAAAAGTATGGTACATTGATTTCTTGTAATGATGAGAAACAATAATTTCAAAACAATCAAACAACAGATGATAAATAAATGACATCAGCCAAGTCATGTTGGTAGAAAATAAGTACCTAAGCTGAGTAAGAAGCAAAGAAGGGTGAGAAGATTGAGCTAAAAGTCCCAACCAAATGTTAGCTTTCCTTTAAAGTTAATTGATTTTTAGAAAATATTACTTTCTTTTTAAATGATAAATCCCATTGCCTACGGGAACCGGATGGTTCTTGAATTAAGACTATGGGAATTAAAAACTTCAGTAGTCGAAAGATTAATAGCATTAATTACAATCTTTTTTGGAATATATGAGGCCAATATATATCAAGAATAGATAATAATAATAATAATGTTCCATGTTTATATAGCGCTCAATTTACACAAAAACACAACATATGTTATCTATATTTTAATACTTTACCTCTCTGGTAGGTCCGTTGCTATGACAACATTGAAGTTATCAAAGAAACTAGGGTTATTTTCCAGAAGTTGCTCCACAGACTGCAAGAGATGAAATATTGAAAACTTAAAATGCAGGGTTACATGTGCATAAAACGTAACACCAATGTTGATTTATTCGTTATCTGAATTTATGAGTAATGACATATTACAACGTTATTCTTCCATATGGGACAATTTTACATTTCAAATTGCATTAGACATTTGAGTGTATGATGTTTAACATTGTAATGTACAGGGTTACTGTATTTCATCTCCTGTATTTTCTTCTGTGGATAACTTTATGTGGAGTGGAATACATTAGGAAATTGTAATTTCAGAAGAACATATAGTTGAACATTATCTTTCAAGAAAATTTAATGAAGATATGATGAAACACAAAAACTGAATTGAACATTGACAAAAATATTAACATGGGTAAAAGATTACATCATTAAAAACAGACTTCAAGAACCCAATTGCATTTTGTTTAACTTCTTCAGTGGTTGTCCACATTAATTACATTTCTTTTAAATAATCACAGTTAATAAGATATTTTCTGGGATTTTTTACACTTTCATGGCCCTATGATCTTTTAATTTTGACCTCTTCCACCCAAAATCTAATCAGTTCATCCTTGCATGCTCATACATACTTCATCCAACTCAGGTTAGAATTGATGTTATGCTTTTCAAGATATGGCAGTAACAAGTCATTTTCTGGTATTATAAACACTTTTATGATGCTATAAACTTTGAACATCGACTTGTTCTCCCAAAAATCTATCAGTTTATCCGTACATGCTCATACATACTCCATCCAATTTTGGTTAAAATCTGTTTTATGGTCCTTGAGTTATTGCAATAACGAAAAGCAGATAGACGGACGGACAGTCCAAAAACATAATGCCTACAGCACCACCTTTGGTCGCAAAGGCATACAAAAAATTGATTAAAAAACAACTTAAAGAGAAGGTTGAGTTCTGCGAAGAGGTGAAAATTAATTTGTGAGCATTTTCATCGTTATTATGCAAGTTTGTTTGTTTGTTTGTTTGTTTTATTTCCACTTTTTCATATCAATACAAAGAAACATACAAATGAATATAATGAATAACATGTAAGTTTGACAAAGTTTGTTTCTAGTTTAAATAAAAGTTTCATACTGTTACAAAAGGAAAAAGCAGGAGACCACATGTCGTAAGCGTAAATGCTTGAACATGACCGTGGCCTCTGCCGAGTTAACAAAATAAAAGAACAACCCATGCAACTGCATTGTATTCAATGTTAAATAAGATATAAGTGAAGTGATTAAAAGTGAGCATGGCTGATTTAATTTTGAGTGAAAATAACAAAACAAATTTAGTGAAATATTTCGTGTTGAGAAGTGCATTTGTGCAAGGTGCAAAAAATTTAGCTTGGTGGAAGGACATCAGATTAAATTTGTTCCCTGAAAAGCAAGGCTCTTCAAATGTGTTAATATTCTAAATATGTAGTCCCAAATACACTGTACATCTTTCTGTTTACAGTGCTTGAAATTTTACCAAGACTGAGCCAAATTTCTTATCATTTTGATGATTCCAGAACCTTGCAGTACACACCAATACTTATATGCTAGATGATCAACCTTATCTTTAATATGAAGTGTGAAATTAGGAAGGAAATATATGCATACAGAAAGATAATGGATTGAAGTTTTTCCCATTAACATACCTTATGCAGTAAAAATGACAATAATAATGATAATAAATCGTTGTTCCCTCACCTCTTCCACAAAGTCTCCTCTGACATCACTATTCAATTCTTGAAGCAACTCTGTAGCTACCTGAGCTCTCGCCTGACCAATGCTGTCCTTTGTCATGAAAAAACTGAGAACCAGAATAAAAAAAGAGATATTTGAATTAACAGATGCCATAATATAAACAGTGTTTAAGGAACAAGGGGATTATTTATTTGTCAGCAATATATGAGGTTTCTCCCGAAACGAGGGACATAGATAAAGTGGGATTAGAGTATTAAAGAAAATGATGGAATACTAGAATCAGGCTGCCTAAATGACAATATACTCTTCTGATGCACATGTAGATTTGTCTAATAAATCGTTGTGACATAAAAATATAATGTTAGTGTTCTAAAAACCTTCAAGAGCTTATTAGATAATTGTTATAAATAGCATCAACTTTGACAAAGAACCGATGTGGCTGATCAGCAAATTTGACACTAGACTTACAATTTGAATTTTTTAATTATTCTTTTTAACATCAGTAAGTTGAATAAATTGTATTTTACTGCTGTTTAGGCACACATAGCTGCATTACTATCCTAAAGCTGTGCTATTGATTCTCAACATTTCAAACACCCCTGTACAAAACTCAACTGATTTCGCTTGAAATCGGTACTTTAGTAACAATTGATGACACCTAAATAGCAGTAAAATACAATTGTTTAATGCATGGTCATACTACTACACGTCTCTCTGACAGGATTGGATGCTTACACGTACAGTACAGTACACACACTTGCATTAATACTTTACTACTTGGCATGCACTGTCCTCCCTACTCACTTGTTGCCGACATCTTCACCTTTGACCTTTCCACCGTCCACAATGGTGAAAGAACCGATCCCAGGTAAGATGAGATTCTTCAGGGTCTCTGTTCCAGTAGCTGTAGCGTTGATCAGACAGACGTGAGCAGATTCTAATGCTGCCTGGCCATGGTCACCCCAAAGTCTGGATATGAGTAAACAAAGGAGCGTTAATTGATCTTTATGGTGTCAAGTTCACAAAATTTTGAATAAGGTGTCAGACCATATTTTTCACCAAAAAAAGGGGGAAAAATTGCTCCATTTACCAACAGGCAGGGCAAACATGAGAAAAGCATAAAACAGGAATTAGACATGATTGAAACTGTGCACGAGCGACGAGTTCGTAATGACATGCACAGTTTTTCCGTTATAATCATTTTGCCTTCGGCGTAGACTAGAAGGGTTGAGATTTAGATGACGTCACGCGCAGCGAGGGTTTAAACGTCCGCTGCAAGATTTTTATCATGGATATCGATTTTGACCCATAATTTCTTAAAAATGGACCATTAAACGGATTATTTCAGTCAAGTTGGTAAGTGGAACCGAAGTAGTTAAGTTTTAACCTAATTTACAATATAAAAGGCATCGGATATGCATCCTGCGAAAGGAGTAATTCGGGGATAAGTTTTGCAAGTTTGGTGTACTGATTTGCCCACATAACCCTACACATTTCACGGGATAGTCTGTTTCGGTCTCTAAAGAGAGAGCCGACCCTACCCCAATAAGAGGCTAACGAACGAAAGAGACGAAAAATTCGGTCTACGGCCGACCCTACCCCAATAAGAGGCTAACGAACGAAAGAGACGGAAAATTTGGTCTAAGCAATGCCGCACAAAACAGCGTAAAAAATGTAAAATTCAACTTCTCATCCACCAAATGAATATGAACACTTGTATTAAACAACCTTAAATACATGTATCAACGTTATCGCAAACAATAAAATCACAATATATGAAGACTTAATTAGACTACTAACAATATGGTAGATCTAGGGTATTCTGCAATTAGTCCAAGCGATTTTTAGTTTTTTAAGTCATCAAAAAGTGATGTCAAAAATTGTCATGATCATTAATTATTTGTGATTTGCTTATTGCTTAAAAACCTCAATGTAGAGAAATTTTGAAGTAGAATAGAAGGGGGAAGGGGTGTCACTTTCAAACTCTCAGATCAGCCTCAGACTTCCAAAATCGAAACACTGCAGCGCCGAATTCTAAGGAAGGACTGACAGGAACACAAATGTAGATGAATGGGACTGAAGAAAATATCAGTGTTGTAAAAATAACATCAGAAATCAATAAATGTTAAAAACACTCAAAAACTTTTCAGGCTGCATGCTAAGACAAATGTATGATTTTGATTTATATCAAAAGAATACCTCAGCTGACGATCATATTTCTTGGCTTTGTCAATTACCGGACTTCCCCTGGACGCTGCCATTTTCTATTTTTCTTTCACGCACTGCTGCACTCTGGCTCATATGTACGTACGCGTACACCGTACCGCGCGCGGTGCGTGTGGTTTAGTGAGGGGGGGGGGGGGGGGGGGGGGGCATAAACAACTAGAATGAAAAGCTAAAATAACATTACGTCAAATACGGAGTCATTTCAGGAAGTCGTCTCTGTTTTCTCATGATTAATTTATAACTACTTTATTCATTTTTTTAACAATTCTATGATAGCGATTTGAGATTAAATTTTGTATTTCTGTCCCCTTTATATAGTTTGTTTGGGGAATCCAACCCTTGACCTTGTAATAAGTTCATTTGTAAGAAAGCAGAACAAATTAGATAAACATGCAGACTTGTGATCGTTTAAAATAAACCCACCAATTATGATAAGAAGTTTAGCGTTTGAAATAGGAGATCAGCTAGCTCTCAAATTGACAGCTAGTTTAGTCATAGGCCGCGGTTGCGACGGGGGGGGGGGGGGGCTACGTCCAGGGGCGTCGTCAAAGGGGGGGGGGTGGGGGTGCGACACCCCCCCCCCCCCACCTGTCAAGATATTGTCGGTAAAATTGCGCTGCCGTCGGGAAAAAAGAGAAAAGGGGGAAGGGAAAAGAGAGAGGGAAAGGGAAAGAAAAGAAAAAAAGAAAAGGAATGAAGAAAAGAAAGCGAGGAAAAGATAGGAAAAAAGGGGAAAGAAAGAAAGGAAAAGAAAGAAAGGAAAAGAAAGAAAGGAAAAGAAAGAAAGGAAAAGAAAGAAAGGAAAAGAAAAGAAAGATAGAGAAGAAAAAAAAAGGGAGGAGAGGAAAGAAAGGAAAAGAAAGAAAAGAAAGAAAAGGAAAAAAAAGAAAAAAGAGAAAATGTGAAACAAAAGAAACGGGGGGTGAAAGAGTGAAGAGAGGGTGAGGCCCGGTGGGGTCACTCCCCTGCAAAGAGTGACACGTATGACCGTTACCACCAATGCATATAACCCCCTTTTGCGGTCAATTTCAAGGACATTTTGTGAAATTTAACCCCCTTTTTTACGTCAAAACAAGGACAAAATCGTACTTTGGAATACCCCTATTTATAAGATAATACACTTTCGCAAATTTACCCCTATTTTACCATATTTCAAGGACAAGGCTCGGCTCCGAGAATTTTTCTTCCCGGTTTTCTCTTTTCCCTTTTCCTGACCCCTATTTATCAACTTCGGGGACACCTGCGCATCCCTATTTTCTTTATTTCGAGGAATATTTTGTCCGCGGACATTGCTTGAAATTGACCCCTTTTCCCGCGATTTTGGTAACGGTCATGCGGTCCGGAAGTCACATTGAGTGACCCCACCGGGGGGGGGGGGGGAGGTAAGAGCCTGAGAAAGGAGGAAAGCATGGAAGTAAAAGAAAGGGGGGGGGGGGTTGTTCGGTGGAGTCGTCTCGTCAAGGAAGCAAGAAAGACACGGGTAAATATATTGCTGTGTCGGGTCAGCTGTGTCGGTATTCTTGCTCGATCCTCGTGTACTATATCAATGCAGAAGTTTGAAGTCGGTGAGATGCATATAATAATTGTCGGTCGGCCGACAAGTTTTTTTCCCTACGAACTGTGACTTTTTATCCGCTGTGACGACTTCTGGACTGGTATTTTCTCGAAGTTTCACTTTCCTATAATATCAGCTAAAGAAATCAGAGGTATAACATTTTCGGGGAAACTAAAAACAAACAAGGTTTAAGAGTCAACAACGGTACGACGAATCGTCTTCCTTTCTCGCGCGGGAGGGGAAAACTTCATTTAGAAGAGTCGAGAACGGTACAACGAATCGTTTTCTTTCTCTAATAATTAAAGGAAACGTCAAAGCTTTTCGTGCTTCGCGCTGGAAGGGGGAAACTGAATTCAGACAAGGATTAAGAGTCGAAAACGGTACGACGAATCGTCTGCTTTCTCCAATAATTTAAGGAACCGTCAAAGCTCCCGCGCTTCGCGCTAAAGGGGGAAACTGAATTCAGACAATAATTATTAGCGCTTATTAAGAGTCGAAAACGGTAAACGAATCGTCTTCTTTTTCTAATAATTTAATGAAACGTCAAAACTTCATTCAGACAAGGATTAAGACTCAAGCACGGTTCAACGAATCGTCTACTTTCTCTAATAATTTAATGAAACGTCAAAACTTGCGCGGGAGGGGGGAAGATGAATTCAGATAAGGATTAAGAGTCGAGAACAGAACAGCAAATCGTCTACTTTTTATGATAATTTAATGAAACAGCAAAGCTTTCGCGCTTCGCGCGAGAGGGGGGGGGGGGACTTCATTCAGACAAGGATTAATAGTCGAGATCGGTACAATAAATCGTCTTCTTTTCCTAATAATTTAAGGAAACGTCTAAGCTTCCGCGCTTTGCGCGGGAGGCCTAACACCGACACCCCCTAATAAGCGTGCTTCGCGCGCTTTTTAAGTGATTCGCTCGCTCACTACCGCCCCTCCCTAAAATAAGATACTAGCTCCGCGCCTGCATTAAAATATATAGCTATTATGTTGACTAAGTTGACGAAATAATTCGTATAGATCTATTTGTGTCGTCGAGGAAAATGATCATTAATTTTGTATAGTCCATAGGAAAAACAATTTAGCCTTCGGCCCCGGGTTTATAGGGTTAAATTTGAAGATATTGGGACATTTCATTTTGTCGGTAATTGGTGGCTAGTTTTGTCGGTAGGCCTAATCGTTGGCCTCTAGCCCTCTACACCCCCCCCCCCTCCCCACTAAAAAAAAGTCTAGCGACGCCCCTGGCTACGTCACGGCGAGGCGATTTTATTGTATGCCTCGGGCACCAACTCCTTGGATATGCCACGCCATGGACTGAAAGCCAAACATATTGATGGGAGGGGGGTTGAGGGCAGTCACCCCCATAGAATTTAAACGTGGTTTATTTCTCATTCGATACCAATGATTTACAAAATAATGTTGCTGAAATTGCATGATTTTTCCCTGTGCTTCCGGAGCCTCTGCTCCCTGGACCACGACAGGACCCTAAGGCGGGACGCTGGATGCTCATCTGACCGTGATTAAATGCCAAAACCCCTGAGCTTCTTGGGATCTGCCCCCTGGACCCACCATGGGCCCTTAGGCGGCCAATGCCTAGCGAACTGCATGCCAGTGTCACAAATGAGGTATCAAAATATGCTCATCTGACCGTAATTAAATGCCTAAAATCCCTGAGCTTCCAAGGGTTCTGCCCCCTGGACTCAACCAAAGGCCCTAATGCTCATCTGATCGTATTTTAATGCCTAAACCTCTAAGCTTCATGGGGCTTTGCCCCTGGACCCCACGTCAATTTACGCTCCACTTTGCTCCACCTAATCGTAAATACTTTAGCCCCCCCCCCACCCCCTACTTTGAAAAACCGGTTCCTCTGGGCCTGCATGTAAGATGTAAGAGTGGTGTTGCGGATTTTTTTTCCTGCCCCCCAAACGTTTTTGCTCATTACACCATTGCTCCCTCTTCCTGCAGACTACCCTCGTCCCTCAAATTTCACCCCCTCCCCCGGTCATGAAAAGAAATCGCCGTACCTGGCCTCAGGCGCGGATCCAGGATTTCTTAGGGGAGGGGGCCCAACTTTTTTTTTTTTTTTGCTCCCGAAAATTTGAAAATCGCGCCGGCCGAAAAGTCGCTCAGTGGGGGGGGGGGGGGGGGGGGGGGGGGGGGGGGGGGGGGGGTACAGAGCACAATTTTTTTTTTTGCTCCCGAAAATTTGAAATACGCGCCGGCCAATAATTCGCTCAGTGGGGGGGGGGGGGGGGGGGGGGGGGGTATAGTGAGCACATTTTTTTTTTTTTGATCCTCCAAAAAAAAAATTCAATTTGCACCCCCCCCCCCCCCCCCTTGAGCGCCAGGGGGGGGGGCCCAACCCCCCAAAAAGGTAAAAATCACGTGATTTTACATGATTTTTTCTCAAGGGGGGGGGGCCCCCCTGGATCCGCCACTGCCTGGCCTAGCTGTCAGAGGGGTCCTTGTGAGTATTTTCCATATCATTTTCTTCTCTTTCTTATCCGAGTTTAGAAATAAGACGGTTTCGAAATATCCACAAAAATATGACATAGTCTTATAATACAGACACTATTAAATGTTTGCACAATGCACATTTTTATAGAATGTATGGAAACTATCGTTATTTCATTCTATTTTTTTATGGCAGGACTTCAAAAATTATTTATAAAAAATATAAGTTAAATGATAGAAAATAACGAATAGTCAAGAAGTAGTCAATTTTTGTTTGTTTATCAACGGAACTGAGCCGACTGAGACTGCGAATGCAAACTAATTATCGACTTCATTATTGATACGTAGTAGTCTAACGCAGATCCTGGAGATCGAAAGTTCTCGTCGTCTTGAGAAATGAGTAGTAGCGGGAATGTTTGAACGAATTTTGCTGCTGATCAGATGTGAACATAATTAAAGATTGAGTAAGTTCATAGTTGAATGATGTGTTTCATATTAATTATGGATTTGTTAATTTCAAAGCCAAACGAAGGGCAAGTAGGCCTACGTAAAAGTGAGTTTAGACATCTGTGGGAAATCCGCGAAGACTGCCGGTCTTGCATCATACATCCTGCCGAAGCTACCGGCGCGACCTACGCCGGTTTGATGACCGCTTTTCTGTAGCCAGTGGGAATTCTCCGGCGCGGCGTTGGCATTGCCATGCCATTGCCCTTGCAGTGACTGTTTATAAGGACAAGACTCGACAAGTTTGATAAATTGTTGAATAAAAGTAGATATAGACTAGATATAAGTTAGATTACATGGTAGCTACTGCTATAATGCACTTTTGCACTGGGGGCCTAAGCGATTAAGCAACTGTGATGATTCCGTTGGCGTTGAATTCCGTTTAATAAAAAGCAGAGGGATCGAGACAGAGAAAGCCAGGAAAGATTGAGATTGAAAAATTCAGTTTCTGATATTGATGGTTGTTCTGCTGCATGAGGCTGCGTCTGTCTCCACTGAATGCCTCTAATACAGAGACTGAAGTACATCGTACGGCCCGGCTTAGTGCGGGGAGATTTTGCAATACAGTTAGTGTGTGGTTGCCATTCATTGCGTGCGATGAAAAAACAAAGAAATTGACAATCATTGACAATGTTTAATTGTTAATGTTTCTCTTTAGACTTAACAATTCAGATGAAAAAAGGAGAACTTAAAAAAATCAAAAGTATTGCAGATTACGAGGTATATTTAGGATAAACCTCACACTTGCTTGGTGAAACATGACAGCCCTTTCAATTTGTAGAGGTGTTAAGGTCTAGTGGATAAGTCTGTCAACTCCAGATCACAAGGTACGGGTTGGAGTCCTGCTGCATGCAGCACTAATGTCCTTTTATTTGGCAGGATGTTAATCTGCAATTGCCACTCTCCACCCAGGTGTTTAATGGGTACCCGGTAGGATGCAAAAGTTTATGTGGTTGTATGAGCTGAGCAAGTGTGGGCTTGTAAAATGGCGAATGGCTGGAATGCTCCCCCGGGAGCAGAGAATGTGCATACATTGTGTGCGGGTAAGCCTGAATCCGATGATCGGTACTAATAATATATCAGTAAAGCGCTTCGACACATAGTTGTATTGATGTATTGGGCACTATATAAGAGCGGATTATTATTATTAGTAGAAAAAGTAAAAAGTTCACTTTACATTTCCTCTCTTATACACATGTCGCTCTTGTGTAGTTATGTAGCAGAAAATGATGCTTGATAAATAAACTAGAAAATGAATGGGGAAAAAAAAGCTCAAGTTTATTTACATGGACATGTATGAAGAACAAAACTGAACCAGTTGTTATCCCTTTGTTTAATAAATTGACACAAACTTATAATAATGATTTTGTTTGTTTGTTAGGGGGAGAGTACCCAGTTGATAAAAATTCAGAGAAGTTGGGAGCAAAGATGGCTGGCTCTCGGAGTATGAGCAGTGGGATGCAAGATCGTCTAAATCTGAGAGTTGCACCCCCATCCCTCACAGATTTTGATGGTAAGTACTTCTTTCTATTAATAACAAATATACTTTCACACTATATTGTGTTGTTGTATACTATGAAGTTTTGGAATCATCAAAATGACAAGAAATTGACTCTAACTTGCTAAAAATCACACGCACTGCATACGGAAATGGCAAGAAAGCTTTTCAGCTATTTCTTGTACTGTTTCCAAATTGAAGGCATTCAGAAACCAATCCTTTTTCAGGGGGCATTCTTACTATGATATTCTTCCCCCCAAAATGACATAAAAGAGTGAGAAAGCTTGCAAGCTAAGTCTCATCTTTACCAGAACTCTGCTACCATCTCTTGAAACTGTCTCTCCTAGATTCTGATGCAGTGCCTGCAGCCAACGCCCAAGCTCTGATGCAGATCCAGCCAGCGGGCTTGCACAAAGATGTCATCTTGATCTCTCTGCTGAAGGGGTGGTGTGAGGCTAACGGGAAGAGCACAAGCAAGAGTCAAAGACTCTACAAGAAAATGTTTCGCAAATTCCAGGAGCACCAGGTGAGATTGAGTGGGAAACACTTTTGAAGGAAATGATGGTTTAATTGTAGCCAGACGGCCCTGAACTCATCATTTTAAACATAGTTAATGCGTTGCTGCCTGTAAAATGAAGATTTGTTTTTCTTCACCCATTTCACCTGTACCATACTATAGAACAAGCTGACTCCCAATGTTTCTTGAATCTCTTATGCTAAAGACTTATTTGACATTGGTTTATCTTTATGGGTTGTCTGTTTGGTTTGTAAGTCAAAGATGATTAATAAATACAGTGTAAGCATAAAGATTTCATTGCAAATACACCGAGTTATGGAATTGTGGATTACATGAAATCACCCCAGAATACATACACTATTCAGAAGTCTCCTTAAGTAATGTTTTTAATCCATGATGTTAAAGATAAAGACCAGTTATGGTCTTGCGATTGCATTGTGAAAGAAGCGTTGTGGAATCAATCAGAAAAGGTTGATCATCTAGCATATGAGCATTGGTGTGTACTGCAAGGTTCTGGAATCATCAAAATGATAAGAAATGTGGCCCAGTCTTGGTAAAGTTACAAGCACTGTACACAGAAAGATGTATATGGGACTACACAAACACGTGGCGAAAAATCTGTCCCGATTTTTATGATGTTACATGCCATATTTAGAATATTAAGGCATTAAAAGAGTCATGCTTTTCAGGGAGCATTTTTTAGCTGATCTTCTTCAACACTTGCATAATACAATGATAACGCTCACAAATGATTTTTCAACTCTTCCCAGAACTCAACCTTCTCTTTAAGTAATGTTTCTAATCCATGATGTAAATAACTCACTTGTAACTCACTTGAACCAGGATTATTCAGTCTTTAGACTGTTGTTCCTATCCATGGTTTCCTTTGGTTGGGGTTGTCATCATATTTATCTGGGGCATCTTTCCACCATTTCTCAAGTCCAGATTTGAAACGATTGATAGTGGTACTCTCCACAACATTGCCTGGAAGACCATTCCACACATTGATTATTCTGTGGCTGAATGAGTTTTTCCTTAGTGTCTTCTGGCATTCTAGCTTGTAAAGCTTAATGTTGTATGTTTCTCTTGTCTTTTGAACATTTACTAAATCCTGTCTGTTCTTTCTACAGGTTATATCTCCTGCACACATTGAGGCTCTCAAGCAGTGTAACTATGACTTCCTCTTGAAGACGCTGGTGTCGTGGTCTCTTTCTTCGTCAAGCGATGTAAGATCATTTGGGAGAGTTTGTCTTTAGGTTACCCATAAAGATTTCACATCTTTGCCTTGTGCCATAAAACTTTAATCTCTTATAGATTTTTGCACTGTGAGCTTTCATGAATTTATCGCCTAGGTTCTTACGCATCTTTTGATACCAAATTTATAAAATGTTGGCAAACAGGTAGCATGCAGTGTCAGAATCGCCATGCTCAGGCAGCCAAAATGTACATTTCCCCGGATGTATTACACAATGCAGAATTGTCAATTCATGATATGTGAATAGTGACTATTTACTGTCAATTAGCATTAACTCAAAAAATAATTGGGATTTAGATATGTGATTTGAATATTATAAGCAGTACTGAAAAATAAATGCTCTCTAACTGAAGAACGTAGCCAAAAAACTTCTGGACTTTTCATTGCCTTGGTACCTGAAATTATGTACAAAACTGTTTATCATGACTTATTCTGTTAGATAGAATACTTTAGAGATATAGAAGTGAAGAGATTATTTGCGAGATAATCAAATCTTGTTTTATAACCAAACACTGTCGTAACAAAATCTCACTTGAATTTATAAGGTAATTCAGCCAGTTTCACTTCTTTGTATTCTGTTTATTTTTAGCAAACTAATTGTCTTGGTCCCAAGGAATCCATGATGAAACAGTTTAAAAAAAAAAAATTGTAAAGTAATGTTCATATCTTGTACTATTGCAGGATGCACCAGATGGCGGTGCTGTATTGCCCTTTACACATTTTATGCCGCTGCCAGATCACGATCATTCAAGCTTCTTCCATCAGCGCTATGAAGAAGACTTCATCCAAAAAGAACCCATCGGTGAGGGAGGCTTTGGCAAGGTGTACAAGGTATGTAATTTTCATCCTGTTTTGTTCTGCGTTTACACACTCTTTACCCAAGTTTTATTTTGCACCATAAATTACTGTCTACAATGAAAATGGTTTTGTTGCTGTTTTTCAATATGTTGCCCTTTCTTGCACAGTTGTACAGTTTCCAAGCTCTAAACTCTCACTTATATTGCATACAAACAATCAGGGTAATCTTAGCCTTTTACATTGTGGATGCATCTTTTAGCAAATTTCTCTAATAACTAAGACATTTATACATGTATGTTTGTTCATGAATTTCCTTTTTTTTTCTGTCAGGTTCAGCACAAGCTGGATAAAGAGCACTACGCTATTAAGAAGATCAAAGTTACAAAGAGGAAGTCATGCTCCCTTCAGGTGAGCATTTGCTTCATGATACCCCATGTGTTTTCTGACACGTTCAACCCAGATTACTATGATTATGAAAAGGGGTAAGGGGAGAAGGAGAAGAAGAGGAAGAAGTTAAAGAAGAAAACAAAGACACAGACAAAGAAGAAGAAGAAGAAGAAGACAAAGACACAGACAAAGAAGAAGAAGAAGAAGACAAAGAAGAAGAAAAAGACATAATGAGGAGGAGGAGGAGGAGAGAAAGAAGAAGAAGAATAAGAAGAAATGATGAAGGAAGAGGGGGAGGAGAAGAAGGAAAAGAAGAGAAAGATGAAGGAAATAATTGGGGGGGGGGGTCTAACCAGTACAGAAGAAATTATGTTGATTGAAATTGAAACCTTACTTGTAGTAATTTTTTCATAATCTCTTTTTCCAGTCTATGCAGAGAGAGATAAAAACCCTAGCCTGCCTGGACCATCACAACATCGTAAGGTATCATCAGTCTTGGTTTGGAGAAGAGGTTCAGCTGCTTTCTCAACAACGTCTTATGCTGGGCCTCGGGTAAGGGCATCAAACGGATTTATACATTGTTTACCGGTATACATTTATACACTGTTCTTTGACAAGACATTGATCTACATTTGCCACTCCATACCCAGGAGAGAAATGGGGTCCTGGTAGGATGATGAAAGCTTTGTGATAGAAATTGCCATATGCCTTCACAGTGACCATAATGGTAGGAATATTCCCCAGGGACGGAAGTGAAAAGGATATTTGAAAGCGCTTGGAGACATTATTTCATTTAAGAAGTTTTATATAAATCCGGATTTATCATTTATTATACAGTTTATATATAAAGTTGAGTACCGATTATTACATTGTAAAGACAGTGTCTTGAAGCAATTGGGAAAGAATGATTATGTACAGTGTGAGTCAAAAAAAATTTACACCTAGAAAATTGATGATTTAAAAAATCATCTATGAACAGTAAATTATTATTATTTTTTTTTTTTTCTGTTTTTATTGTTATTTTTGAAAAATTAACAGAGTAAAAGCAGCAATATAAAATATAATATCATCTTAAAACTACAAAACAGGCACGCACTCATGCACCCATAAACATGCACACACACACACACACACACACACACACACTCACATATTTTCCCAGAGGGCAAGTTTACATTTCAAAAAGTCAATGAAGATGTTAATGACAACAGAGCTTTGCAAGACTACTCCTAAATTTCAGTTAAACTTGATAGACCATTTCTTAAAATGGACTTGTAACTTATTTTTCTTTTGGGCAATTTTATATTCTATTTTTTGTTTGAACTTTACCATTGAAACAAATGATTCGAAAATAAGTTCTTTTCCCTGAAACCTACATGAGTAAATATAATATTTTAAACATAAACAGAGAAAATTTATACAAGAGGCGTATTTGTCCCTTGACTGTATTCCAAACAAAAAATTAAATTTTGACAAAGTCAGATTATAACTGTGATCAGTGCCAGTGTTAATCTTATCCACCAATTTTTCCCACAGTGGTACAACTCTCCTACAGTCACAAAACAAGTGATCTAAAGTTTCTGGAAAATCTGAACAAAAATAACAATTAGCAGACTCCTTTCTCCCAATCTTGAACAAAAATGCATTAAAACCAATAGCATTATGGAAAATTTTGAAATAAAAACTCCTTAACTGAGTCTCAATCGTGCAACAAAAGTTACTCGTATGAATAATCGACCAATCCTTCTCTTTGGGTTGATGGCCAAATAGTTCCTCCCATTTACTCTCCCTTTTGGCATTAGTACAACTATATTTCTTCAGCAAAATATTATATGTATACTTAGACATTTTCTTTTGACTTAATAGATCTTTAAAAATTTGATTAAATATATTCTCATCCACATTAAGAGAATTATCAAACCACTCCAAAAATATGCCATTTATGAGGGAGTCATATTTTTTTGGTCTCTAATAGGAATGTCAAACTCAATTACGAGGTCTTCAAATGTTTTGGGGTTACCAAAACCATTATGTAATTGAAAAATGGAATGAATACCCTTTCATACCAAACTGGATAGAAAAAATGTGTTCTATATTGCAATCTTACATTTCTATTCCACCAAATAAAATCTTGTAAATGAAACTGACATAAACCTAGTTCTCTTTTCATCTCTTGCCTATATAAATACCATGTCTTAATAGACGCTGTTAGTTAACTGGCAATTTTTAAGTTTTGCCAAAACCGAATCAGGGGCATCTGCCTTAAAAAGGGCAAGATGGTCATCACAAAAGGTAGAAAGAATATATATTTCTATTGTTTTCCAACAACTTTCATATTTATCGTCTAATAGTTTAGCCATCCACAAAACTTTCTGCGCTTGTGCAAAAAACTAAAGGATTAATCATCCTTAGACCCCCTTCTTCATAATCATTGCATAATATATCTCTCTTAACTCTGTCATTGCCATTGCTCCAAATGAATTTAAAAAGCAAACCATTTAATCTTTTAAAGAAAGAGTTTGGCAGGTCAATACATAATACTGAAAACAAAAATAACATTTGGGGGAGTAAAAGCGACTTTACAACAGCAATTTTGCCCAACAAGGATAGGCTTCTATGCCTCCAACAATTTAAAATCTGTTCTATAATGACAAGTCTGGGAACAAAATTCAGTTCGTAAAGCATTTTTGTGTTCAATGAGAAAACCACTCCTAAAGCCTTAAACGTTTTTGATTTCCAATTCAACCCTAATGCATCTTGTGGAATAACTGTACTGCCTTTCAGCTTTCCTATATGAATTGCATCCGACTTACTTAAATTAATGCGACAACCTGAAAATTTTGCAAACTGAGTCAACGTTTCAAATAAATGTTTAAAGGAAACTGTTTCCCCATTCAAAAAACAAGTTGTGTCATCTGCAAAAAGACTTATCTTCTGTTCAAAGTTGCCAACTGAAATTCCCTTTATCCCCGGATTGTGTCGTACTGAAATAGCCAGAATTTCAATAGCTAGTATAAATAAAAGAGGGGATATTGGGCACCCCTGGAATATTCCTCTTTTAATTGCAACCGGATTGGACATAAAACCATTGTTTAACACACAACTAGTTCTATCATTGTAAAAAGTCCTTATCCATCTTATAAAATTGTCTCCAAAATTAAAATAGTCCAAGACTGAAAATAAATAATCATGTTCTATTCTATCAAACGCTTTCTCAAAATCTAACAAAATAATTGTAGCTGGCTCATTCATATAGTCTGTATATTCAATTAAATCAATTATAACCCGAATATTGGCACCAATGTTGCGTCCCTTCATAAACCCTTGTTGATCTGTATGTATCAAAGAATTTATACAAGACTTCAAACGGGAGCTCATAACTTTGGCTAATAATTTATAGTCAACATTCAGCAGAGAGATAGGGCGATAATTCTTCACTAACAATGGATCCTTACCCTTTTTTGGAAGAAGCGTGATTATTCCACTTCTTTGAGATTGTGATAAAATTCCTTCTTGAAAGGAATAATTATAAGAGTGGAGTAATAAATCTATGATATCATTGAAAAAGGTTAAATAAAATTCACAAGGAAGACCATCTAGTCCTGGACTCTTATTTGTTCCCATATTCTTTAAAGTAGTCCAAAGTTCATTTTGGTTAAAGGTCTGTTTAGAGCAGAAATTGAATCATCTGATAAGGTAGGTATATTCAAAGGGGCGATAAAATCCTTGATAGTGTCCCTATCCTCAAGAGATACCTCTGAAGAGTATAAAGCTTTATAAAAAGAATGAATTTCCTGAAGTACTCTTTTAGGATCAGTGATGATTTGCTCATTGTTCGCCTTCAGTTGGCGTATAGTTTTTCTTTCATAGGACCGTTTTTCTAAATTGCAGAAGTATTTAGAGCTTTTTTCTCCGTGTTCAGCCCACTTTAATCTAGACCTTACTATAGAGCCAGCAGTTTCAGTATCCAGAAGTTCATTCAACTGTGCTTCTTCAACTTCTAATTTGCTATATAATTCTTGCAGTTCTCCATTTGAACTATTATCCTTTTTTAATGAACCAATTTTTTCTTTAAGTAAGGATATACTCTTTAGTAAATTATTCTTAGTCAAATTCTTTTCTTTTTATGCCTCCGCCACCGAAGGTGGTGCCGGAGGCATCATGTTTTCGGGTTGTCCGTCCGTACGTCCGTACGTCCGTACGTCCGTCCGTACGTCCGTCCGTACGTCCGTACGTCCGTCCCGTTTGACCGTTATCACAATATCTCAAGAACCATTTAAGATTTAAACTTAAGACTCGGGAATAGTATTTATCACCATAGGAAGACGATCTGATTAGATTTTGGAATACGTAGGTCAAAGGTCACAGGTCACAGAGGTCAACTTATGAAATTCCTTGTATTGAGTTTGTTAGCGTGATATCTCAAGAACCATTTGAGATTTAAACTTCAAACTTAAGGATAGTATGTATCACCATAGGAAGACGATCTGATTAGATTTTGGAGCACGTAGGTCAAAGGTCAAGGGTCACAGAGGTCAACTTATGAAATTCCATACATTAAGATTGTTATCATAATATCTCAAGAACCACTGGAGATTTAAACTTCAAACTTAATGATAGTGTGTATCACCATAGGAAGACAATCTGATTAGATTTTGGAGCACGTAGGTCAAAGGTCAAGGGTCACAGAGGTCAACTTATGAAATTCCATACATTGAGATCGTTATCGCGATATCTCAAGAACCACTGGAGATTTAAACTCCAAACTTGTTTAAATTGCTCTATGGCGGAGGCATCATTTTCGACTGCGCGCAGTCAAAATTCCATCTAGTTTCTTTCTACTGCAATACTCCATACAATGACCAGCCATTGTGCATTTGAATGCATCCCAAATAATATGTGGATTTAGATCACATTCAGCATGAAATTCCTTAAATTCATTAATTTTGTCTTTAATGAAATTGCAAAATTCTGAATGTTTCAAATGTGCAGTGTTCAGTTTCCAGTATCCCTTGCCCCGAGGTGAATCATTTAGTGACAGTGCTAGTGTTACCATACAATGATCAGAACAAATACCAGTCACAATTTTAGATTTCTTTACGCAATTCAACAAATCACTAGAAATAAAAATATAGTCTAACCTGGAGGAAACAAATGGAATTTTCTGATGGCGTGTAAAAATCTTATCATGAGTATGATCTCTTCTCCATACATCTACAAGACTTAGTTCTTCTACATACATATTAAAAGCAATTTTGGCACGAGCATTAGAGTGGGTTGCATTAGAACCCTCATAATCTAAAGGGCCTACCGCAATATTCAAATCTCCTGCTAAAATAACATGAGAGTTACCTATTTCATCTAACTTAGCAAAAACATTAACAAAAAAATCTGGTGAGTCTTTGTTAGGACCATATAAGTTGACAAGAATAAAGTGTACATCATTAACATTAACATGGAGGATAATATATCTTCCCTCAGGATCCAGGTGAAAAGATAAGACTGATATTTTCAAAGAAGCTTTAAACAAAATAGCCACACCTCGGCTATTGGAACAATAGCTGCCAAAAACTGCCTCCCCTCCCCACTGAGTACGCCACAGCTTCTCATCATCTATCCTAGAGTGGGTTTCCTGAAGAAAGATTATATCATACCCAAATTCTCTTAAAAAATTAAAAACTTTCTTTCTTTTAAAATTGTCATGCAGACCTCTGCAGTTAAAAGTATTAATCTGTAACATCATATAACAATAAAAACCTAGAGTAGCAACAGTGAGTTGACAAAACAAGTAATATCCTAAAAATGTACACAATTTGATTCATGATAAAGGACCCCTGGGAAAAGGGCACACACCACACACTCAGTGAAAAAAGCATACGCACAAACACCCACCAAAAACAAAACAAACTGGAAAGGCAGCCAACGGTATGAGGCAAGAATGAGAAAACCTTAGAGCCTCATAATTAATCATAATGAACCAGTACCAACAAGGATAAGAACAATAAAAACTATTATCCCCAATGGTGAATCGTGGGTAACCAAAAACAAGGCACCTCCAGGGCACCCCGAGAATTCCTAAAAAAGTTTAAGTGAACAAAATATGTTTAAAAAGACCGACATCACTAAACTAATCTGGTGTCCAGCAAGTTAAAACGTGTTAAGTTCAAGGCATGTTATCTTGTAAAATATAAAAGTTTTCTGTGAAAGTCAGACGGTTTGTACGAGACAGCCACTATGATAATCACAGTGTTTTTATGGTGTACTACAGTTGCAATTCAAACACCTGGCTTGTGAACCTTCAGCTGGTGATCTTGGACATACTTAATTGTCGCAGGGTATACAAAGAATGCTCGCTTTGCTTGTTGCTGCAACATCTTTAACTCAGGCAGGAGAGCTTTACGGCGAGCCTGAACGCGATGACTGAAATCCTCTGCAACAAACAACTTTGATCTCTCTTTGTACTTGAACCCCTCCTTGAACGCAGCAACACATGCCTTCCGGACCCTCACTCGATCTTGAAACGAACTGAAGCAAACATGAATTGGACGATCCTTCGGCTTGTACTGGCTGCCATTCTGGGGATGTCCACGAGATGATGGTGGACCTGGCGGCGTGCGGTGAGCCCTCTCGATCTGAACATGCTCAAGATTTTTGTCAATAGAGGCCAAAAAAGATGAAATCAACTCACTGCATCCACTGGCAGAATCAGGCTCCTCACCTTCAGGGAAGTTGAAAAAGATTAGATTGTTTCTTCGAGATCTATTCTCAAGGTCGTCAATCTTATCAAAAGCTGCAGCCAATTCCTTTTCCAGATGTTGGAACTTTTCTTCACAAGCAGCTTCATGAAAATCCAGTCTCTTATGCAGGTCATCAAACTTTGAATCCAAACGCCTTTCATATTCTATGAACCAAACAGGGGCTGCAGCGGCCGCGTCACTCACCCGGGAGCTGCCGGGGCCGGCTGGCGAAGACATGGCGTTGGATCGCTGACAATCAACGGGCAACTTTCTTTGCTTTTTCTCGATCGATCCACCGTTTTTGGACGGGGAGTTTAATCTCTTGTCCGGCATTAGGAAACACTAAATCAAAGAGCAGTAAAATCAGAGCTGAAAAGGCCTTCAAAAGTCCTGTTGGATCAAAACTTTGCTAAAGAGAGGCTCGTGTGGTATTTTCTAGAAAGGCGCCATCTTCGATCTCCATGAACAGTAAATTATTATACATCTTATGATAGAGGGTTTTATCCCAAATCGTTTGGTATCATTTTTGTGGGGTGTCCACGCTTAGATGAACAGGAGGCATTGTTTGCGTGCGTGCAAAATCGACTTGCGCCAAAGTTGCTTATGTGATGTTTGAATAAAACAATCGGGATTAGAGTATTAATTTGGTCTTTGCAGATCCAAATAAAATCCCTAACAAAATTAATCATGCCACACATATAAAATTTCGAAAATCAAATATCAACAGATATTTTGTGCGCCCGTGTGTGTGTGTGGCTTTGCTTCTGCAAAAAGCATATGCAATGCATTTCATTTGATACATTCAATTCGTTCTCTCACTCCGCTAATCCAAACATAATACATACTGTAGGCATCACTTTGGCGCAAGTCGATTTTTACACTCTTGCAAACAATGTCTTCTGTTCATCCAAGCGTGAACACATACCACACAAAAGTGATACCAAATGATTTGAGATAACACACTCTTTCATAAGATGTATAGTAATTTACTGTTCGTAGATGATTCTTAAAATATTTACCCAGTAGAAACTTTCTAGGTGTAAACATTTTTTTGACTCACACGGTAGTATGTAAGTGAGTAAATTGCTTCAAGACACGTTATTTCCCCATGTAATCACATTACCAGTAGTCAGCGTTATCTTATATTGAGAATTTTGAATCTTTAATTACAGATCCTTCACAGACATGGACAATGGTTTCGAAGGAGAAGAGGACGATGAGGAGGAGGAGGAGGAGGAAGAAGAAGTTGAAGAAGAAGAAGAAGAAGGAGAGGAACAGGAGGGGACAGAGAAAGATGAAGAAGATTCGTTCTATGAAAAGTCAAAGAATATATATTCTTGCCAAGAGAATGAAAGCATTAGCAAACTTGGTTCTACATCACCAATCATAACAGAACTTGTAGAAACGAGGAGTGAACGTCACTCCCAACAAACTAGTATGACCGTCTCTATGAATCCAGCAGAAACGGATCCGTTTGATTCAAACTTTACTGTCTCATTTGAGGACGAGAGATTTGACAGTGGTGAGTTAGTCAACAAATTCTTCTCACAAACAAGTGATAATGTAGACAACATCAGGCCCTTGGCATTCAACAAAAAGGAGGAAGAATTCGATGGAATAAGTGATAGTTTGGACTCATCTGGAACTTCTGGTAGCACAATTATTTTTCAGAATGTTGATTCAGATGCAAAGGACTGTGATGAATTCAATTTGCCGTCTCTCAAAGAACAGAACTCATCTGAATTTGAATTTGTAAGACAATCGCAGCGAACTGAAAAGCACATTGGAACCTCGTCCAAGTCCGACTCCTACGAAAAAATCAAAATCACTGCCACGACAAAGTCAAAGAAGATTGTGAAAAGTACGCTTATACCTGTTACGTCAGCAACTGCTGCAATTCTAAGCACAATAACATCATCGCTTAGCTCGTCAACTCGCATTCACAATAGGATTCGCACTGCACCTTTCCACTCACAGCAGCCAATTCGAAATGGTAAATTTCGGAGGTCAATCAGTTGGGATGGTCAAGAGTCTAGTCCTGAAGTCGATAATGGGTATTGGCCCCGATCAAGGCCGTCCTTCAAGAGACGTTACTACCTCTACATCCAGATGGAGCTGTGTTCAAGTACCCTGAGAACGTGGCTGAGTGAGCGCAACGAGAAAATATCAAAAACTGAGAGTAAGTAGACTGTTAGACCTAAAAAAAAAAGATGTTGTACTGCCCTTTGCGACCAACCCAAAAATCTTGAAATCTTGGGTCGGCTTTTAAATTATTTTTTTTAGAGAGAAAAACAGGCCTTATTGTAGAAATTTTAATTTCTGAGTCAATGTACATTTTCATGTAGATTGATGTAATTGTTAACTTGAATGCTAAACCTAAGTGATTTGTAGGAGTTTGTAGATTTAATTAAATCTTTGCATCTGCATAAGTTTATAATATTCATGTCATTAACAAAAATTATTGTATTACTGATTCAACGATTGTAGCCACGATATAGTTATTCATTTACTTTAAAGCCACACTGTCCTACTTGTAGCTACTTGCTCCCTCTATATAGAAAACAATGCCTAATCGGTTACCATTGGTCCCTCATGATCCTCCTTTTCCGATGTTAATTGAGAGCTGAGTTGATGAGATGTCCAGTGACCTTGCAGGGCGGTCAAATCCCTCCTATAAACTACCCGGTAGTACAGATAAGCTTTAATATGTACCACTCACTTTTAGTAAATTGTGTAAATTATTTCTTCCATTGTCTGATTGCTACATAATACTTTGTGTTTTTAATTTGTATTTGAAATCTAATTTTTTGGGTGCAATGAATAGATAGATAAACATGTTTGGTTTTGTTGTAAATATCCCATCCCCTGAAAAGTCTACCTATGTATATGTCAGAGAAAATAACATACAAATAACATATGCAGAGAACAAAGAAGAATTGTTGACTCTTGAGAAATCTTGCTTACATGTATGAAGTTTCGAAATGAGACAAAGCAATAAAGAACTTTGAAGAATATGAAGAATACATTTTCTTCTAGGCCTAGAAATGTTGAGTTAAAAAAAAAGCATTTTGTAATGCATTTTTGTGAATTCTACTAGGTGAAGCATGGATGTATCTTTCTGCAATTCGATTTCCCCAGATTTACATCGTCTATGCTCTTACTTTTGTTATATGACTTTGTAGATCAGTTTGATGTAGTGAATGAGAAAGAGAATCAGAACATCTACGTGCAAATCCTGGAGGGGATGAACTACATCCATGGACGAGGCATACTACACAGAGATGTGACAGTGAGTACCAAAAACCAGAAACTTTCATGTGCATGAAATGTTTGTAAGTTTAACGAGTGGCTCAGATCTGCAAAAGTTTCATACCACTGTATAATTGAATCACAGTTGTCACAAGAGTAATTTTTTTGCAATTTGAGAAAGAACATGAAATGTTTGTAAATTTCATGAGTGGGTCAAATTTGCAGAAGTTTCATACCACTATATAATTGAATCACAGTTGACACAAGACAAACTTTTGCAATTTGAGGAAGATCATGAATTATTTGCGAATTTCACGTGCATGAAATGTTTGTGAATTCCATGAGTGGTTGAGATTCGCAGAAGTTTCATACCACTATATAATTGAATCACAGTTGACACTAGATAAATTTTGCAATTTGAGAAAGAATACAAAATGTTTGTAAATTTCATGAGTGGTCGAGATTCGCAGAAATTTCAAGCCACTAAATAATTGAATTGCAGAAAATAATGAATACTGGTAGGGTATCATTAGATAAAAAAACACATTAATTTTTACCAATTTATTATCATAAGCCACCAAAGTTAGGTACAGTTAGGTATACTTTTTTGTTATGCCCACACATGATAATGAAGTTCCACTGCATTTCATTCAATATTTTTATGCCTCCGTTACGAAGTAGCCGGAGGCATTATGTTTTCGGGTTGTCCGTCCGTAAATACGTACGTCTGTACGTACGTACATCCCGTTTTCGTGATCGCGTTATCTGAAGAACCGATTTATGGATTCCTGGATTTTGGGTTCACGAGGTCAAAGGTCAAAGGTCACAGGGCTCATTATGTATGCAAAAACAGCTTGTGATCGCGTTATCAGAAGAACCGATTGATGGATTTCTGCCAAACTTTGGTCATGTATGTATCTTGCAAAGCCAATGAACTGATTAGATTTTGGGGTCACGAGGTCAAAGGTCAAAGGTCACGGCTCATTATGTATGCAAAAACAGCTTGTGATCCCGTTTTCTCAAGAACCGACTGATGGATTCCTGCCAAACTTAGGTCATGTATGTTACTGGCAGAGCTGATGAACTTATTAGATTTTGGGGTCATGACGTCAAGGTCAAAGGTCATGCGGCTCATTATGTATGCAAAAATAGCTTGTGATTGTATTATCATTAGAACAGATTGATGGATTCCTGCCATACTTAGATCATTTATGTATCTTGCAGAGCCAAGAATCTACTCAATTCATTGTAGATTCTTGGTTCATAAGGTCAAAGGTCAAAGGTCAGGGGCTCATTATGTATGCAAACATAGCTTGTGAACACATTCTCATTAGAACTGACAGATGGATTACTATTTAACTCAGGACATCTTGCAGAGCCAATGAACTGAGTAGCTTTTAGGGTCATGAGGTCAAAGATCAAAGGGTCATATATGTATATGAGAAATTGCTTGTAATCATGATATTCTGAGAACCTGTTAATGGATTACAATTGAACTTGAATTTAAAAAAATTCTTCTGTTTTGGTTTGTAAAATTGCTCTATGACGGAGGCATCATTTTCGACTGCGCGCAGTCAAAGTTCCATCTAGCTGTTTTAACAAACTTTTTGAATTGTTCTTTTCCACCAGCCTAAGAATATATTCTTGAGTAACAAGGATGATGGCCACCCTCTGGTCAAGATAGGAGACTTTGGACTAGCTAGGGAGGATGTCCTCACTGAGCCCAAGACCCCTATGAGGTTTAGACGGGACCAAGACTTTGACGGTGAGACAAATTTTGGAAACTCTTCATAAAATATTCAGCGATTGGAGTTTGAGCATTGATATCTCTCTCTTGTTACTTCGATTTGGTATCATTGAAAAGCCTACTTAATCCTCTTTATGATTATGTAATCATGGAATGCGTTAAACATGTTCATTGGGCAGAGTAAAAACCGAAATTTTGCAAGAAATGCATTTGTAGTGTCAAAATTAATAGAATATTTAAATGAAATGTCAACACTCAAAGTTGAATTGCAGAAATTAAAATTGTTATGTGAGTTTAAGGCACTGGAAAAACTTCTTGTTAGCAATATTGTAATTTACTTAGAATTGTACACTACACATAGATTATTAGTAGGGGAAACCCCAGTGTAGTGGTACACCTGTATATCCCAGTCGATTATACAAGGAAGAGAGACCCAAGGGTTTAATTGATTCAGTTTGTTTTTCCCCTTCCAGGCACAGGTGATGTACTTACTTTATGTTAAAAAAAGGATCACCAATAAGGCGTTGAAAAAAAGATTTTTTTTTTTCTTTGATGTTTTAACCAATCTTTATCTTTACTCAATAAAAGGATAAGGTAAGAATTCTTGGTAGAATGGCAAGATGCACGCATGTTCCCTTGAGCATATAAAACAGCCAGGCCTCTCAAAGCAGTCGATATCTCTATAATACAACATTATTTTTGTTTAGGCCTAATGCCGTAGTATCCTGTTAAATTAGTAGATAGTATTGGCCCTGAATCCCTTCATAGATCTGGCAGTATGCTTGCATGTATCAAATTGCTAAATAGACAAACTGCAGTATAGGTCAATATCGTAGAATTTAATATCCTCTATTTTTCTTCTGTGCCACATAGAGTGTTCTGTAGACCCCTGTGTCTCTCAGACCTATACATCAGGGATCGGAACAGAAACATATGCAGCACCAGAACAGCTGGATGGGACTACATATGACAACAAGGTACCTTATTCTTTTATTGAACCTATAAATTTGCTCTCTAACATGAGTTTTGCTCTATTCTATATCAGTAATTCGGAATATGTAGACGATGTGAGATTGTGAATTCTTATGGTTATCATGGTCATTGTGATAAGAACAAAATTCTTTTAATTTCTATTAAAAATCAACATCAATTCTCCCTCGCTTTATAACAGGAATCAGTTTTCTTTACACTTTTGGGGAAGACGTTTGGTAAAGTTCAAAGTGTTTTGTCATTTACGTTACCAAGTATCATGGAGTTTTTATCATACATTGACATCAAATGTGTAATTCATTTTATATTCGGTCTGACCTAAGCTGTAATAGGGCTATCAATTTAATACAATAATCAGATATTCTAAAATCTAGATGTGGTCCGTAACATATGGGACAAAACAGCTAAGACTTGCCCTTTTTGTCACATTTCAATACAGATGATAAAAAATGCAACAGCTCTAATGACTTGTGACATTGTTAATGCTGTGGTCTAGTGGATTGGTCTGTTGGCTGTGAACTACAGGGTATGGGCTTCAAATTCCTGCCTCAGCACTAACGTCCTTTGACAAGATATTCATTTCCATTTGCCGCCCTCCACCCAGGTGTTAAATGCGTGCTGGTAGGAAGGAATTCCTGGTATGCTTTGAGCAATGATATTGGTAGCCTATTAAACTAGAGCCGGGGTAATATTGGATCACCTTCCATTATTATCATTATGATGATGGTGATTATTATTGTTATTAATTTCATGGTTAATATTAGAATATTATTTTATTTATTATTATGTCATAATGATATATTTTTCTCTTTCTAGTCTGACATGTACAGCATGGGACTGATCCTATTTGAGCTTTACCATCCTTTTGGAACAGGCATGGAGAGACACAAGTGTTTAGAAAAGTTACGAGCAGGAAACATTCCAGAAGAGTTACAGAAAAGGTGGCCAGTACAGGTGATAATAAGATTCTGTTGAAGATGTAGGATTTCATTTAACTTACGTGTACATGTAGCTATGCCTTGATGAATAGAACAGCTGTGTCTTTTGCCTCATGAAATAGTTTTACTAGCTCTCTCATAATCAAATAAATGTGTGATATCACATGCTTGACATAACAGCATCGTGGAGGTGTTGTGGTGCATTTATATTTCTGGCCTAAACAGTCTTATATTGGCACATGGATAAGCAAGGTGCTCCCCAAAAAGGGATGGAGGGAGGGGGGGGGGGTCAGAAGACATTCATTCTATTCTTTGAAAATATTTAGTATCACTATGCAATGTTTGTATTCAATCTAACTTTGTTTTTCTGTAGCACTCTGCTATCCAATGTCTGACAAGACAAGACAGTCAAGAAAGACCCAGTGCGTCTGATCTCTTATCTGGTGATATGTTCCCATCAAAGGATAAGGTAAGAGATAAAATATAACGATGAAAGATTTAACAAAGCCTTCTCTATAATGTTGTTAGCTTTCTGTCGACAGCATGATGTTTTTCTTTCCTATACCTTGCCACATCCATTTATTATAGTAACAAATATTTATGTTGCATCTTGTAGTGCTATTTTATTTGTTATCAATACTACTTTTTCAACGACTATGTACAGGTCTTTCAATAGACTTAATGTGAAGTAAGCGCAGTTCTTTAGGCAGCTCATGCATATTGAATGAACCCTTTTTGTTGATTAAAATATGAATATATGCTAATGAAAATATATTTTAATCTCATAGATAATTCATTGTAATTTAGGATTTGTAAAAACCAAAGTTGCATCATAACATTAATAATCCTTTTATTTAATGGATTTTGTTCTTTGTAGATCATAGAAAGCCAAGCAGATGAGATCCAGACACTCAAGAAACTGCTCGCAGAGAGAGATGCTGAGATCAGTCAGTTGAAAGAGCATAAGAATCCTAAGAGTGCTAAGACGTAAAAGAACTATGTCATCAGACTGCAGAACCAGTGGTCAACAATAGGAATAGGATTCCTAAGACGTAAAAGAACCATGTCATCAGACTACAGAACCAGTGGTCAACAATATGAATAGGATTCCCAAGATGTAACAGAATCATGTCATCAGACTGCAGAACCAGTGGTCAACAATATGAATAGGATTCCTAAGACGTAAAAGAATCATGTCATCAGCCTGCAGACCAGTGGTCAACAATGTGCATAGTATTCCTAAGACATAAAAGAACCATGTCATCAGACTGCAGACCAGTGGTCAACAATATGAATAGGATTCCTAAGACGTAAAAGAACCATGTCATCAGCCTGCAGACCAGTTGTCAACAATATGAATAGGATTCCTAAGACATAAAAGAACAATGTCATCAGACTGCAGACCAGTGGTCAACAATATGAATAGGATTTCTAAGACGTAACAGAACCATGTCATCAGACTGCAGACCAGTGGTCAACAATATGAATAGGATTTCTAAGACGTAACAGAACCATGTCATCAGACTGCAGACCAGTGGTCAGCAATATGAATAGGATTCCTAAGACGTAACAGAACCATATCATCAGACTGCAGACCAGTGGTCAGCAATAGGAATAGGATTCCTAAGACGTAACAGAACCATATCATCAGACTGCAGACCAGTGGTCAGCAATAGGAATAGGATTCCTAAGACATAAAAGAACGATGTCATCAGACTGCAGACCAGTGGTCAACAATATGAATAGGATTCCTAAGATGTAACAGAACCATGTCATCAGACTGCAGAACCAGTGGTCAACAATATGAATAGGATTCCTAAGATGTAACAGAACCATGTCATCAGACTGCAGAACCAGTGGTCAACAATATGAATAGGATTCCTAAGACATAAAAGAACGATGTCATCAGACTGCAGACCAGTGGTCAACAATATGAATAGGATTCCTAAGACATAAAAGAACAATGTCATCAGACTGCAGACCAGTGGTCAACAATATGAATAGGATTTCTAAGATGTAAAAGAACCATGTCATCAGACTGCAGACCAGTGGTCAACAATATGCATAGGATTCCTAAGACATAACAGAACCATGTCATCAGACTGCAGACCAGTGGTCAACAATATGAATAGGATTCCTAAGACGTAAAAGAGCCATGTCAGACTGCAGACCAGTGGTCAATAATGTGAATAGGATTACTAAAGACGTAAAAGAACAATGTCAGACTGCAGAACCAGTGGTCAACATTAGGAATAGGATTCCTAAGACTTAAAAGAACCATGTCTTTAGACTACAGACCAGAGGTCAGCAACCTCTATTTAATGGCCACCTCGATACAAAGGCCACTCTGTGTCAAATACATCTGTTTCTTTGACCCCAAAAGGAGCCTGAATTGATGAATGCCTTCTTCATAGAGGTGTTCTAGGAGCTGGCATATAAATAGTCGTAATTGATCTAGATTGTTAGCAAAAATTGATAGTAGTAATAATATTACAACAGTTCTTATATGGTGCATTACACCTATGAAGAAGGTTTCGCAATGCTTTGATGTTAGGAAAAAGTAAGAAAGAAGTGAAACAAATAAAAAAGTTGCTGGAAAATGTCTTTGACTAATGTATACAATATCAACTATTTAATAACATTATGAGGGGCAGCATGCTCCATACCTGTTCACCATAACACTTTGTTGTGACCACAGCCTACAGGTACATCATACAGATCTTTCTGCGGTTCTCCAGTCAACTGCAAACTTACAAACTTGTTTTTTTGGTACAGCGTTGCATTTCCATCAAGGTGTGATTGGTTGAGTCAATCGTTCATACTTTACATGACGAGTCACATTAAATTGACATGTTGATGTACTATTGCTCAACTGGTCCATTTTTTAATCCAAGCTGTGGCTCGTTTGGTAAGGCATCAATCTACATTTGCCACTCTTTTCTCCAGAACAGAATGGCAACGTGTCAAGTTTACTAACAACCATATGGGGATTGCCATTACCTTGTATGAATCTTATGAATGGTGCACGTGTGATAGGAATACACCCTTGGGAGTGGAGATGGTGCACAAATTGTGTGTGGGTGACATAAAAGTCCTCAGGAACTTTGATATTATGTGCCATAATTGTATAATTTTTACTTGTGCAAAGGGAATGAGGTAGCCTATACTTTGAGGTATATGTATGTCTACCAATGTAGATGCAGAAGTGCAGAGTAAATGAATTGCTGAATAATGTTAAACGGATGGTGCTTAAGATCAGACATTCATCTTGAAATGTATTCACCACCTGTAATTAAACATGTACAGTATGTGAACTGCGAACTATCATGTTTATTTATCAATATTCATAAGAAGAGAGTTGTGTACTCTGTACCACTGTGATCTTTTCTTTGATTTCTTCACCTTGTCTTTTTATCATGATTTGTGATTCATGATGATAAATGATTTTGTTTGATTGTATCATGTGTGGTTGGAATTCTTCTAGTTCTTTTGCTTACTGTGTATACCTCTATAATGAAACAGACATCGTTCCATCTGACTGTGAAGTTCACATACCTAGATGTAAGCTCATGTTGAGTACTTTGGATGTATTGTGAGAACTATGTTATCTTTCATGTTACAGAACTGATGTTAATTGTTGTACCAACTGAAATTGTGCGGACTAAACACTTATTATGGTGCTCGCACAGATGTCATTTTTAAGGTATATGCGAATGCAGCCAGCTTTGCACAGGCAGTTTGTCCTAATATTGATTTGTTATGAAAATAAATATTGTTTTACTAGCATAAATGTAAAATAGTTTTCTGATATCCTGTGTAATTCAGTAAGGACATTATGTAAATGATAAAAACATTCATTTATGTAATTTTTTTATTTATTATTTATGTGGAATGTATGTCATGTCACTGTTTCTTATACAAATTCTGTGTAATATTTCAAAATAAGGGATTTCATGTTTTTACTTCCACTTTACATTTTGAGCATTAAGGAAGAATGTGAATAATTACACCTGGTTAATGTTTTCTCACATGATTTTCTGGCAGGATGGAGCCTGTTTATACCACTTCAACATGAAACCATTTACTATACATCAACCATTTTCATAATGTTTTCTTTTATTCTTTTGGCTAGTCATTTCATTCAGCTATAAGTCGGCAATACATTGTATACATTTGGTTTCACCATTACTGTTGAGTTAGTTGTTTGGTTTAACAGTCATTTTTCTGTTCTCAAATGCTGCGTTTATATGACTATGAACTCTGTAGGCATATTACCGTATGTAATTCTGTGTTTCGCATTCAATACATGTAATGTAGTGTCAAGAACCTTAACTTCATTTTTTTAATTACTCTACCAAAGCTCATAGATATTTTATGTACTAGATATCTTTTTCATTTGATTTTCCCTTCTTTTTAATTAGTTAGTAATTCAACTTTGATGGATTTTTTTCTCCATTCTCTGCTATCATTGTGAGGTTTTTATTCTCTTCTTTTGATTGTTCTTCTTGCTTTACTTTTCACTGTTTCTTGTAACTATTTTCAAAGTGGCATCTTTAGGAATAGAAGTAGTTTGTGGCAGTTGCAAGGGATTTTAAAAGTTACAAAGTCTATACATGTCGTCAGATATATCACTACTAAATTTGAAATGTATGTACTATGTGGAGTATAACATATGAAAGTGGCGTACACAGCTTAAATGTTCTTCTTCTTTGTTTTGTAACTTACATGTGGTTTATATCTTTGAAGTAAATACAAGTCTGAGTGCAATGTTGATTTCAAACCACCTAAGCACGCAATACTTTTGTCATTTTAAAGTACTGTAAATCCAGATGAAACAGTTCAATGTTATTGTTTATTTTTTTAGACCAAGTTGAAAGAAGACGATTCTTTTTTTGATCTTCCAAATTATATTCATTGAGATGTCATGGTTGTGATCCAGATAATGTGTGTCTATGGAGAGATATAAATATAAGTGAATACATGTGTGTTCATATGATATTTTATGATACGGTACTCCCATATTCAGTTTGGGGAAGCTGTCTTCTATTCAGATATAACCTGTTTGCTGCATAGCTGGTACATGTATATTTATTGGAAATAAAAATTGCCTCATTTTGGGGGGCAATTTCGAAGATGCAATGAATTATTTGCATTTCATCTCATATCAAATTGTGATTTGTCATGTGAGGATTATGAACGAGCTGAAATAAATAAGAGTATATCATTAGTATATTTGGGTCTTTATTGTGTATTGTCTGCTCACTAGGTAATGAAGATTGTAATGTTGTTTTTTGTACACGGATGATGATTTAGAATATTATTACCTATAGTATTATATTATTCAAAATCCTGCTAATGGGTAACATGGGAAATAATATCAGTGTCATTGCTGAATGTGAATTACTATATAGATAAGCTGATAAAGTTAAGGGGGATGTGGAGAGAACGATGTTGATATCAGTATGAATTGAATGATGACCTTTTTTCCCCTTCCTTTTCTCGATCAGAATATATGCTTTTCAATGATACACAATAATATATGAATGCACTTCATTAAGCTAATATTGTGCTCTGCAATGAAACAAAATGCTCTGACTTTTTTTAATTATTCGTTTTCATTTGGATTCAATTCAATTGAAAATTACTTCACGGTTCTCCAATTTGATTGTAAAGTAGAAAGATAGAGGGGGGTATTCTCTCTTGTTTTTGAGAAGGACTAGCAACAACTGCATGGTTAGAGAGATGGAGAAAAGGTTGCGTGAAAGATATTCTTTCTTCAAAAGGTGAAGCGCCCTAGAGATGAATTTTAAACTAGAATATGATACGAGAGCAAAGCTTGAAGAAAGCCTCGATGTTTCGAACAGGTCAACTGGTCGTCGTCGTGCTGTAGAAAGAAGAAATTAATGGTATTATTCATCACAGCTTCCGGGGGGGGGGGGGGGTGTTTCACAAAGATCTCAAGTCGAACTTAACTCGTAAGTGTGACTTACAAATTACGGAGAACCATTTGTAGCCTTAGAATAAAATATATTTAAAAGCGAAAATTCAAGTATTATAGGCTTTTTATAAATTCCACATCAAGAACATGAGATCTCCTTGATAATAGAAAATATGAATGATTTTAATCAACATTTCATGCCTTTTAAAAGAACTTTTACAAATTATTTTCATAGATGCTACGGGTTTGTGAAACACCCCCTTGGTATTATAAAGACGACGTTTTTTTTTCTTCGGTCTCCTAACACCTAGAAAATGACGTGGTAGAGGATAGCGACCGACACATCAATTGGAGTTGGTGATCGATGAAATACGTAGATTACTTTGATGAAGGGATTAACTTTATCTCTCCACGATTCAATCTTGATCTTCCTCAAACAAAACCGACAGACCTTCCAACTAATCCTATTACATTCTCGAAGATACACCCTAAACGCACCTGCGTATGAATTGTGTACCTTTTTGTGTACCTAGGGCTGGTCGATTTCTTTAAAGCTCCTGCATGCGATTTATTTAGTTTATGGAAACCATTTCTATCATGCTAAATTACGCTGACCAGGTGACTTTCATTCGTTTGTAATCAGCAAATAAATGGCGGTTGACACAGAAGACATGTAGACAAAGTCCATGAACAAAGGACCATGTTTCGTTATGTTATGACTGGAACAGGTAAAGTATTGTGTGAGTGTAGCTGGGCCTCGCCTTAAAATGAATTCGTGGTGGTAGAAAGTTATTTAGAAGTTTTTTTTCTCTCTCCCTCTCTAGAAAACTCGACACGTAATGCACGTATCCCCTTAATCCTCGAACTTTGCATTTGTATTTTGTAATACCCTAACATTTTGGCAAGCTTTGACCCATTAGCTAAAATATGCATGAGGATTTCATAACACTGTTGGTTTTAGTTGCAGTGAAGCCTCCTACTGTATCATGGTGGCGTAAATAACGGTAGCGTTCAGAAAAGGGACAAGCAATTTCTCTGATTTTATCAGCAAATTCTCTAAACCATCGGATAGCTTTAATAACATTTCTTTCTTTAAAGTATTCAGCGTTTCCAGTGTTTTCGACATATGTTTACGATTGGTGTAAAACCATCTGTGATGTAGGTCTAACGACGACGAACACCCGTTCAATTCCACCTCTTTTATGTT